GAGGACGGAAAATCACTGTGCCGTCACGCAAGGACATCCAAGGGGTAGTGGTCTCGACGATAACTCGCGGAAGGTCTTCTAGAAAGTGATTGCGATTGATTGCCTCGAAAGTATTATCGTTTTGCTGCGAACGGATGAGTAGAACGTCACCACGCAAGCCGAAATAGACACGATGGCCATGAAAATCATCCTTGGTCATGTACTCCATGTCGTCGATATCAGCAGCGAAAGCGTCCAAGTCCACATCGCCAAAGATGGAGCGGTAGAGTGGATCGGAAGTATACCGAGCAGGTAGCTGAGAAATCGCTCGCCCGGAGACAAGAAGGCTGCCGGTGACTAGATTGTAGTGGACGACTTTAGAAGAAGTCCAATTTGAAATCCAGGAGGAGTCATCTGAGTGAACTGTCTGCCACTTGTTGGTGAACCTAGCTGTTGTCCAAAATCTCTTGATACCATCTGTAATTGCGGACTGATGGAGCTCAAGGCTGGCTTGAAGATGTTTCTCGTTTCGTCTCGCAAGGTACGCATCATTCAAGAGCTGTGCTTCATTGCTGGGAGACTTTGTGGCAGGCTGGGATTTCCGGTGCGTGTGCAAGTGAACAGAAGCCTCCACATAGTCTGCCACAGCATCCTGGTCAGAGAACATGGAGGGTTGCGCCTCTGTATCGACGGTATACGTGTGACGACAAAGAATGCATGCATGCAATATCTGACGTGAAAGGTCTCCGAGAGTAGAGCTGTCAGCACGAGCATTTTTCCGTTCAGCGTAGAGTTTGGTCATCTGGCGTATCCAACATAGACCAGAGCGACGAATCCAGAGAACAAGGTCCATGCAGCTCTTCGTGGCGTCTGAAAACGACGACAGCGACATAACCTTGAGGGCCACTTCTAGCAATATAGCCGCCGCCGCCACTTCTTTGAAATTCGCTTCTATTCTTTTGAATGCACTGTTGAGGGCGTCCAGCAACGAAGACGTGAAGTGCTCTTCCTCAAGTACAACCTGGGATTCACGTAGCAGCGAGGTAGGACATGCTTGACCAACTTGAGAGATAGCGTAACGAAAGACAAGAGCTGTTGAGGGAGAGTTGAGGTCGATTTCTGCGGAGGTGATTGCTCCAAGAACATTGAGTAGTTGGAGTCTTTCCCCAGATCTTAGCGATCCTAAGAGCACAAATTCATGAGAGCCCATCTCTGTAGGGCACTTGGACTGTTGAGAAATGACTTGATTTTGTGTATGGCTGGTGAAGTTGACATAGCCATTAAAGACACTGTTTGGAGAGTCTGTGAGTTTGGTATAGCAATGGCTTCGCAACGAAGGATTTGCAGTCTGGTCTGCCGTCCATAGAGCCGGATTCGAAGCATCATGCATTCTAGGGCGAAGGCCGTTGCTGACCAAGACGGGGTCAACATTTAATGAGGCCTTGAGATAGTGTGATTTCAGAACGGGCTTTACAGAGGATGCAAGAGTGATGCGTCGATTTCTCCGTTGAGCGTACTTCTCAAGTGGTCCGTACGAGAGTAGTCCCTGCTTGGACACCGCCCCGGTGACTTGGTTGGCTCTGCAAACATCTTGAAGCAATAAAAATGTGGCATCTCGCCAGGAGACAATCGCTTCGGGGGCGGCAAGCTCAAAGATCACTGTTTTGCACAGGGTCTCGTCGTCTGGGAGTGGCCATTCGTGTTTGGATATCTGGATGTCCTTGGCTTGCTGTTCCTTTTTACATTTCTGGCATTTCTTGTCATGTCGAGGCCTACCAACATATGGCTTTCCGTACCTGTCGATCCCTTTGGGGATGAAGACGCCACATTTCATTCCATCGACTTCTCTCATCATTCTGTCAAATGTCTTCTTTTTCGACTCCCACTCGTCAGACTTGGCTCTCCGTGCTCGATGAGCATCTTCTTCGACCGTAGCGCGTAGCGCCTGCAGATCAGAAGATTGGTCGTAAAATCTCACAGCAAAGCAGCCTGGTGACGGATCGACGAAGAGAGAAGGACTGGTGTAGGCACACCGTGATCGTCTTGATTTGACGTAGAGTTCCACCTTTGACAGTCTGTCCAGTTCAGTTCGATTACTGAGAAGAAGAGGTCCAAAGAGAGTGACAGGAATCTCCTGTGGATACTCCAAGAGGAGCGCATATGAAGTAGTTGCAATGATGTCCAGGGCCATCCACAATTCGAACACCGTAAGGAGCATAATGGACATTCGCTCCGCATGTAGCTGGTAGTTCTTCTTGGCTACAGCATAATACTTCTGTATTAGTCCATACAGACTGCGGCATGCGGCTGCAGTTGACGCGTTGGCCGCTATCCAGCTGCTCAAACACTCCTCAACCCAGAGCTCAAAGTCGACAGGACAAAAGAGGACGTCTTTGGCCTGCGTGAAGATCTCGATTTCCGGTAGTTGGTACTTTGACAACACCACTCTACCGGATGATGGAGGGGTGTAAGAAGTGAGTGAGTACTTGAAACCTTTTCGAGAGCGATTCCAGATGTTGTGTATTATGGAGCAACTGTTCTTCAGCACCAGGTGATCTGATACTTCGGTGAGAGGGACAGGTCGAACAACAACTTTGTCTCTATCGATAGTCTCGGCCCATTGGCGGCGGATACTGTTGTCGAGTAGGTCTAGGGTCAAGTTGACGGCTTTTTGGACAAAGTCCAGTATGAACAGTCCCAGTTTGGCATTACGCCTAGCCAATTTCACGCGCAGAACGTGGAGAGTGTCGGGTCTATTATCGATGGCCACAATACCAGCTGCTATCCGAGACAAGAAGAACAACATGAAGTTTTTGTAATGGCAATGTCCCTCACCTTCGAGGTCTGCGTTGACGAGGGCGATGTGAAGGGCAACTTTGGCAGCTAGCCAAACACCTGACCGGCGCCAAGGTAAGTGTGCATTTTTCCAGCAAACATCATCGTGAACGCGTTTGCGGATGGGCAAACTCGACGCAGTCTTTCCACAGCCACCCAAGACACCGAACAGCCACTCGGAGACTGCTCGAGGATGGGCAGATTGCCGCTCCTCAACCACAGTATTGTTTGCCTTCTTCGTGATTTCCATAGCCATTTTCAATGGTTCAACTGACAGCATATAGATGGCATCTCCAAGGCTTTTGATGAAGGAACAATCCTCGAGTTTCGACTTCGACAAAAATACCGATCGTGCTGGAAAGTGTCGGACGATGGCGTCTTTAGCATTGAGAACCGCATCTGTCTTTGCAAGCACCTCAAAGCACTCGAAGATGGCTCCGTTTGGCTTGCTTCGAATCAGGATGGCGGCATTCTGGGGTTCAATGTAGAAAAGTAAAACATCTGGAAGACTGATTAGCATCGACTGATGATCCTTGCGAAAAGTTCTCACCATCTTGATGCCTATGTTTAAGGGTACTGGTAATGACTTCGCGACATGGGACACCTTGGTGGTAGATGTCGACCCATTTGACTAGTGAGCGTGAGAGTCGCCTCCAGATGGGGCGTTCGTGCCTAAAGGCAGAAAAGGAAAGCGTAAAGTCGCGCGCGGCATCCAAGATCTCTTCCAGGAGATCATCAGCGTGTGATTCGCCGTGATGTTCTTGTGGTAGTTTCGGGGGAAGGAACACATGTTCAAACACGAAGCTCACGGCTTCGGCTCTCATTGTGTCTGTGGAAACTTGCCGAGGGACAAGCAGCAAGATGCTGCTTTCCCCCAAATGACGTTGCGAGATTCAATCTCTATGGGACAGGCTGCAAGTTGCAGATTCAGGGTTGATCAAGAAGTTGAAGACGATGACGAAGACTTGTGCAAGAGGCTGGTGTGGTTTGGCAGACTGGAATTTTTGGAGAGGATATTGGAACGAAATCGATTGTGGCCTCTGGTTGACAGGAGATAGTCTTGGCAGATAAACAAGAAGCCTGTCAAGTGAACATATAGTGATCCAAATTTGACATCGGGTGTGGCAGAATGACTGGTCGTGGACGATAAGCCCAGGTTGTCTTCACCTCCATTTGCCAAGATCTTCGACGTTCACCCAGCGCGAGCATTGTCTCCTGAATCATTTTGACCTCTTGGCGGTAGTGAAAAACTGAGAGCTTGTATAGTGGCCTGGCATCATGTTACCGTTGTCGCCGCGGCTGAATGCATCGTCTGCTACGGTGCAGATCGCCGAACCAGGAGTTGTATATTTAATTTTGGTAGGAGTTTTGGGGTCCTGGTGGTCAATGGTGCCTTATAGCTCTAGCCATTAGTATAGCGATCCTACAGGTAATGTGAGATACAAAATGTTAGGGGCAGAAGGCCCTGCATAGAGGGCAGTCTTTCTATTCGAGGTCGCGAATTCGCCCAGCCCAAGGGCATTTCGAAAGCGGATCGCCGATCCTGAGCCAGCAAAGTTGTTCCTTACATGTGTATTCAACACAAGCTTCGTTGGAGTCTATCGTGGGTTTGGTTCAGATGGTACTAGCGAGGTAAGCACATCAGGATGATGGAATCGCTGTTCGTGTCCACTTCTAGCGCAGCGGCGCTGAGGTATTTGTGTGGATCGCATGTTGCAGATTCGAGGACAAAGTTGTCCCAATTCACATTCGAAAAAGAGACTTCGAGGTCCTCGGAGGAACACGATGGTGGCGAGCTCTGTGAAAGGATGTAAAGCAAGCAATGAAGGAAGTTTGGAGGTTGGATTTGGACTCGCACGACTCGCAACATGACGCCTGATTGGGTCAAGCGAGATCGCCACAGTCTTAGCTGTTACGGAATTTCATTGGTGGATAAAGTGTGGCTGAGCCTATTTAGCGTGAGATTGATTGGTCAGGCTCTCAGGCACCGCAGCTCCCGATTACTCCGAGAAGGGCCATCTGCGTCACTATCACCGTCTGAGCCTCAACCCGCAATTTGTATTTCTGTCGCGCTTCTCACTTCTCTACACATCTCCCTGATTCCGCAGGCAGCTAGCAGTAGGCATTTAAATCTACAACCCTACCAACTTTGAACCTGTCCTACACTTTCTATCTTTACACTCAACATGTCCGCGCCAGCAGAACCCCCACCAACCTACGACCAGGCCACTGGCTCTTCGGCCACAACGTCCTCCAAACCACAGAAATCATCCCACCTAGAAGTGCCGTCTGCAAAGAATGGGATCCCAACAGAAGCCCGCCGCTCGATGGAGGACCTTCAGAGACCTTTACCCGAAGGGTGGGTACGGCAGTACGATCCCAAGGAGAACCACCAGTTCTTCGTGAACACAAATGTCGAGCCCCCCCAATCATACTGGGAGCACCCATTAGATATCCCCGAAGTCCTGAAGAGCTTGAGCACAGAGGAACGCGAAAGATTGCAAGAAGAAGAGGATAGGTTGAGAAGACAGGCACCACATTCCGCCGACCACTCCGAAGACGAACAATACCCACCAGAACTCCCGGCCCGGCCATCCTCCTCACAACAAGCCGGTCAAAAGAAGACCTTTGGCGAGAAACTGAAAGATAAAGTCACCGGCACAACTCACGAGGAACGTGTACGCAGTCGTGCGCAACGTGCAGAAGAAGAGAGACAATATTACGAAGCACATATGAGGTTGCGACAAGCTATGCAGCAAGCACAAATGACAGGTCAACCTCAGTTCTTCGCCAAAGACAGAGACGGCAAGAACATCTACGTGGAGCCTCCCGGGGGTCCGGGCTATGGATATGGCGGATACGGACCAAGGGGTTATGGTGTCAACCCTTATTCAAGCGGACCATATGCGGACCCCAACGCCAGATTTATTCGACCAGGCTATCCCTATAATCGTCCATACGGCGCTTATCCGGGAGGTGGATATGGATTGCCCATTGCGGGAGGGTTGCTTGGAGGGTTGCTTCTTGGTGGACTATTGTTCTAGGACCGCTTTTCAAGGATTCAGGGATGCGGTCACGGAAGGGCAGCTGGTTATTGTCATTGATCGAGACGAGGTTTACGAGGTTCGGCATTGCTTTTCATACTGATATCCTACCTAGCACTTCTTTATGCTTTATGCTTGATACAATCGAATGAATTGTTATCCCTTATGTCTGCTTCATCTTCCGAATCCATCTTTTCGCCATCATCTTTTCGCCATCGTTTCCCATATTCAATTCATGCGTTTTTATTTTGACATGAAATTTTGGCGGAAGAAGTACAAACCCAACAATACAGCGCGGCATATGTTCCACAGCACGTCTTGACCATTATTCACGTGTCAAGAGTAGCTGCAAATCATACAAACCACCACCTCGTTGAACGTCACCTTCGAGCCGTCGTCGTGAGTCGGTGCCAATGCCACGACATCACCAATACACGCGGACGCCCCTTCGCTGAGATTCACACCGCCGGTGTAGAAAGCGCATTCGGCCGAGGAGAACGCCGCAAGAGACGAATCGTGGACGTCGCTGGAAATCAGGGTGGCGCTCTTGAGGGGTTGGTCGAAGACCGTGGTGCCGCTGCCTCTGAGCGAGCCTGCAGGATCGCGCGAGAGCGAGTACGGGACAGTGAAGGGAACGGTGGTTCCGGTCGCGGTGGTCGCGGTGCCGATGGTGATGGAGGTCAGGCCGAGAGGGAGAGTGTCGTCTTGCTAGACGAGGATAGGAAAGGTGTCAGTGGCGCGATGAACATGGTAGGGTGATGGGGTCGGAACAGAGGGTTTTCCTACTCGGATGCGCAGCTTGGAACCGCAAATAGCCAATTGTGAGTCGTCTTCAGCGAGGTTATAGTCGATCTGGGTATGTGTGAGCTATATATTTTCAAAATTCAGTCAACAAGCCACAAATACTTGAGAGGGATGATACTCAGTGTTGGGAGCTGCATCGTTGGACTGACTGCTCTTGATTTATCTCGTACTGGCTATGCTTGAATGTATTTCCCACTATCGTTTCCAGCTACACTTCTTGTTCTGCCGTGGTAGTATGGCTAGAGTGTTGTATTTTTCCCCGGTTGGAGAGATTTCCCTGGTTCTATAATGAGACCAGTCTCCCACGGCAGCGATGCGGTGTGTCTGGGATAACACAATGGATATTACGGGGACGCTTTCCTGGCAAAAGGCAGCCTGCTGACCAACCTCCTGGCCACAGTCAGATGCAAAACCCATATTCGTTCCTTCCCGCATCTTGGTCAGCCTTATATTTCCAGCCTGAGAGGTCTAACATCTGCTTGGGAAGTGATTCTAGTTCTCAGAGCAACGAGGAGTTAGAGCTGCTAACAACTTTGTGTATTCCATGCTCAGCAACCACCACGGGCCAAATGTCCACGACGACTAAGATAGGTCGAGGGGTCAGTGGTAATGCATAGTCTTGCTTCCTTCGAATGTTTGGGATGATGGGATTGACTGAAGATGGAATTACAGGTGTCAGCATCTGACATGACGGACGGGCAGATTCGTTCCTAGTATACTTTCCAGTATCGATGTCATGGGAAATGCCGACATAGGACATAGGCTCATTCAAGGGAAAGACAACAGGCTCCGCTTACCCTGTGCGGAAAGTTCGAGGTTGCCAAGCTGGATGGCAGTGGATGGGGGATGTACAAGGCTGAGCCCCCTTAGACCACCAGCCTTGTGACCAGTGTGTAACGTCCTCTGATGAAAGCCATAAGTTACATTATTGGTCACGTCGCTTTGGTATGGTGAAATCCTCGAGAGAAAAGAACCTACCACATCGGGCTGCAGCAGGGGAGAGCGGAAGCATTCATATTGCCACAGAACGAGTGTCATCGAGCTGAAGGGTATATTTCACCTATCTGATTTCGTGGCTGGCGGGACCTAGTCGATTCTTTGGAAATGGCAGATGACTATACAATAAAGACAACACCGACCACTGGCTTGTCAAGCTTAGAGGTTTTGAGGAAATACATAATCTAGACAAATGACACTGTCTCTCAAACAGTCCCTGAATAGTTCTTCGTCCAGACTATTCTCGACAGAGACGCAGCCGCCATGATGGTCCCGTAAATAGACGCGAATAGAGGGACTAACAATACCTAATAATTGCAGAGTTGCCAATGTTCGTTAGCAACCCAAGGTGGACACTGCTGAACCCCAAAAGGGAGAGACGTCGTGTGGAGCAAACACGAGCGCGGATATCGGCGCGCCTTCCTGCTTAGAAAATTCTTGATTGCTATCGACCTGCAGCGACCCAGCCTTGAGGGGCAGTGGGCCGTTCACCTGGTAAAGAACAGAGAACCAGCACGACTTTCGCGTCATAGCTACACAGGGGGTGAGTTTGCTCAGAATACGGGAGCCTAGATTCATGCCATATATTCAGATATTCTTCTAAGTATCTCCCAATCTCTTCATACAAACGCCCTTTGGCTCCCTTCTAGCGCAATCGCTTCTCAACCAGTGCCAGCCTATACGAGATAGTTTACGTGGGATCACCGACTTGCTGGAAAGATGGGCGACTACACGGCCTTTTTCTATGGTAACTACCTCCTCCTTCCGCATTTCCCCTTCTGACCAAGGCATCAAAAGGCACGCTCATGGCCCCCGGCGTCCTCCACCGCGTTATCCATGGAACCCACACTCCAGAGGCATGGCAGAAAGACCTGATCACCGTGCGTCCCGCCATGCTGCAACACTACCGTCGACACAGAGTCAAACACGCAGACTACCCTGCTATCATACCTCATTCCGACTCCAGGGTGCGGGGGAGCCTGGTGACGGGACTGACGCAGGGTGACATCTACCGCCTGGACATCTTCGAGGGCAGCCAGTACAAGAGGGACGTGGTGAAGGTGCAAGTCCTGAAAGACGTGGAGCTGGATCAGGCTGCGCCCGAAGAAGACAGCAACGACCCGGAAGTCCTGGAAGAAGTCGAAGCACAAACATATGTATGGCTGGAAGGTGAAGAGACGTTGGAGCCGCAAGAGTGGGACTTCGAAGCGTTCAAACGAGACAAGATGCGTGCTTGGATGGGCATCGAGGAGGACGAGGAAGTCGAGATCGATGAGGGCTTTGCGGATGTGGACAGAGCTGTTGCAGAGGGCGACTTCTCGCAGACAGAAGGCAAGACAAAAGAGAATGGAGCGACCACACCGAAGCGTGATCCAATGGGCGGGAGAGGGGCCAACGGGCATATCACGCAGCAGTTGAAGGATGCAGGTGTGTAGAATTCACGGCAGCGCAAGAAGAACACGGATATACTCAAGATACCACGCGGCGTCATTACCACCTACGATAGAAGATAGAAAATCTCCCGCCACAAAAGAAAGATCTGACATTAGAAAGGTATTTTCGTAGCAATGCTAATCTCTGAAAGAGCTCCACGCTTTGAGCACACTCACAATCCCACAGCACAGCACCTGAAGCAAAGAATTGCCAGAACCCTTGCTCCTGGCCCAACGTAGCCGACCCCCCAGTCAAGTTTAGTTGATTTCCAGTCCGGAACTCGCCTAGCGACGACCATGGCTTCTCACGGCACTGCCTTGCATCTGTTCCAATTCCTGCTCTAGCTGTTTGATTGCAGCGTGAGTCGCCTCTAGATCCTTGTTCAAGCGATCTCTTTCGCCAATCAACTTCTGCTCCCATGCTCTGAATCGCTGTTCCTCTACCTTGACCTGCTCGGTGAACCTCTTCCGCAGTGCCTCTTCCTCTTCCTTGAACTTGGGGTTGTCCAATTTTCTCGGCCTGGCTTCACCAAACTTTCGTGTCTCCATCTGCTGCGCACGGTAGGCTTCATAGTGGTTCTCTTCAGTGGTGTGAATGAGGTCGAGCATGTGGGTACGAATGAGGATTGATCGGAGTTTCTTGAAATCGCAGTGCTCTTCGTTCTCCACTTCGGCCACACCCCAAGCGTATTGTCGGCCTTTCACAATGCGCGCATCCGTGGTCTTGACATCCTTCTCGCTACCGATTACGGCAAAAGGCATGGCGGCCATAAGTGCACGGGCATGTTGTGCTGCAGCTTCGTCATCATCTTCGATAGGGGGTTGGTAAATTTTGATGCCCTGTGCTTCGATGACAGCTCGAATGCGGTGCTTGAAGCGGGCCAGATCAGCAGGAGAGAGTGTATCAGCCTTTGCGACAACTGGAATCAAGTTGACACGTGTGCATAGCCGCTTCATGACCTCAATGTCCAGGGGTTTCAAGGTATGGCCGGTAGGTCGAATGAAGTAGAGGCAGGCATGGACACGGAGGTCGATCTTGTCTTGTCGCCGAGGTTGTTGCTCTTGCAACATGTAGGATTCATGCTGGTCATCGAGAAATTCAATGATAGGCATCCAGGAGTCGCGATTGTTGACATAGTCGCCGAAGCCAGGTGTGTCAATGACGGTGAGACGAACTAGCAGATTGATTAGACTGGTGTCATAGCTGGATGCGCTATATCTGAAATGTACCTTTGAAGAACTTCTCTTCCAGTTCAGCTTTTGTGATTTCAATCTCCACTGTCTTGTCAACCTGCTTTGCATGGCGCCTCTTGTGATCTTGGTAGTTCTTGATGGTGGTGGAGAAGAGAGTATTGATGAAGGTGGTTTTGCCTAAGCCTGACTCGCCAGCGACCTGAATAACAGTTAGTATCCGACCAGCGTACTGGGAAGACATTGGTTCTACCATGATAGTGAAAGCGGCGCCTCTCTTTGCGACGATCTTGTGTCGCTGGTTAGGCAAATTGGCAATGCCAATGGGCGATGGAGACTCCGCTGCAGCTGGAGCCATCTTGGTCGCAGATTTTGAGGAGAGATAATCAAGTAGAAAGACCCGGCACAGGAGATGATGACAATAACACCAGTAATCAGAGTCCGACTGAAAAAACGATGAAGAGAATGAAAAATGGAGGACTGCAGTTTCAAATTGACAACGTGGTTCGTGGTTAGGGGTTTCCTTAATTGACCCTCGCAGAAAGTGTAGGGACAAGTCGCGCCCCTGAAACGCCAATTTTCACTAGCAGGCTTGCCCCAGATCACGGCGTGCGCTTAACCATAAGCGTCCTAGTTCCGGAGAAAATCAATCATTTTCTCCGATAACTTTTTTTTCGAAGCCGCATTTTGGTAGATGGTAAACTGGGAATTGTGTATACATGCGCCGACCTGGACTGCACAGCCATGAGACAATGAAGACGGAATTCAAGGTTCGTAGGACAGACTCCTAGTCGATGCCATCACTCTAATACTCTGTCACAGTTTTCAAACCTCTTGGGTACTGTCTACCGTCAAGGCAACCTTGTCTTCACACCGGACGGCAACTCTCTGCTCTCACCAGTCGGCAATCGTATCACTGTGTTTAATTTAACAAAGTGAGAAACCCTCCATAGGATAGTCGTGAACTTGAAACTAACATATTATCGCGCAGGAACACTAGTTACACCTTCCCCTTCGCCCACCGAAAGAACATTACCCACCTCGATCTTTCCCCAGATGGAAACCTCCTCCTCACTATTGACGAAGATGGCCGCGCAATACTATCTATCTTCTCCAGAAGAATCGCGATATACCATTTCTCCTTTAAGTCGCCGGTAACATCATTGGCGTTTGCTCCAGACGGTCGTCATTTCGTGGTGGGGATTGGCAGAAAGATTCAGGCATGGCGGACACCTTCCACCCCCGGCGGAAATGCTGACGGGGACCTCGAATTCGCGCCATTCATTCTTCATCGCGAATACGGAGGCCACTTTGACGATGTCAGACATTTGAGTTGGTCGGGCGACTCACGGTTCTTCCTCAGTGCATCCAAGGACCTTACCGCACGCATATGGAGTTTGGACCCAGAGGAAGGGTTCGAGCCGACGGTCCTCTCAGGCCATAGACAGCAAGTCAGGGGCGTCTGGTTCTCCGCCGACCAGGAGTCTATCTTCACAATAAGCGAAGACGGGGCGCTTTTCCGCTGGGAATATATGGCCAGCCAGCAAGCCGACAACGACGAGTCGATAGAGCCGATTGATGAGAGGTGGCGAATTGTACAGAGGGACTATTTCATGCAGAACGCAAAACTGAAGTGCGCTTCATACCATCCATCGACCAATTTGCTGACTGCCTGCTTCGACAATGGCCTTTTTTCCTTGTATGAAACTCCGTCCTTTTCGAACATCCATAGCCTGTCGATGGCATCTTCACCCATTTCAACGGTAACCATCAACAAAACGGGGGAATGGCTGGCCTTCGGCTCCTCTAAGACCGGGCAATTACTTGTATGGGAGTATACTTCCGAGTCAAACATCCTCAAGCAGTCTTCTCATCTTGACACAATGACGACTTTGACGTATTCTCCAGATTCTAGTCGCATCATTACTGGTGCTGACGACGGGTTAATCAAAGTTTGGGATGTCTCATCTGGCTTCCACATTGCGACCTTCTCGGAACATAACTCTGCTGTCACCGCATCTGCATACTCGAAACGAGGCAACATTCTTTTTACTTCATCTCTAGACGGGTCCGTTCGAGCATGGGACATGTTGAGATATCGAAACTTTAGGACTTTCACCGCTCCTCAAAGACTCTCCTTCTCCTGTCTAGCCGTTGACCCTTCTGCGGAGGTCGTCTGCGCCGCGTCCCACGACTCCTTTGACATTCATCTATGGTCCGTGCAGACCGGAGCTCTCCTCGATCGACTAGCAGGCCATGAAGGACCGATATCGACGCTAGCGTTTACTCCAGATGGGCGCCATCTCGTCTCGGGGTCCTGGGATCACACCATACGAGTATGGTCTGTGTTCGACCGATCCCAGTCGTCGGAAACATTACAACTCATGTCGGACCTACTTTGTATTGCAGTTCGGCCTGACTCTGCACAAATCGCGGCTTCCACACTTGATGGGCAGCTTACCTTTTGGAATTTGAATACTTCGATACAAGAATCTGGTTTTGACGGTCGCCGAGACGTCAGCGGAGGTCGAACATTGACTTCCCGGCGTACAGCAGCTTCAACCCCTGGAACGAAATCATTCAACTCGATTGTATATTCCGCGGACGGAAGCTGCCTTCTCGCAGCTGGAAACAGCAAATACATCTGTCTGTACTCGGTTAGCACGCTGACACTGATCAAGAAATTCACCATCTCCATCAACCTGAGTCTGGATGGCACACAAGAATTTTTGAATTCAGCAGCTATCATGTCCAATGGCCTTCCCAAAGACATGCTGGATACAGAAGGCGAGGCGAGTGACCTCGAAGATCGCATCGACCGTACCCTTCCAGGTGCCAAGCGTGGAAGAGATGCGACGGCAAGGACTATTCGTCCAGAGGTCAGGGTCGCTGATGTCGAGTTTGCACCTACTGGAAGGAGTTTCTGCGCGGCCAGCACCGAAGGGCTCTTAATTTACAGCCTCGACAATGTGGGAATGGAAGATTTTGATCCATTTGATCTCGATATCGACGTTACTCCGCAGAATGTTCGAGCTATCCTTGCCCAAGACGAGCCCGAGTATCTCAAGGCTCTGATCATGGCATTCAGACTCAACGACAAGCCTCTGCTCCGACAGGCGTACGAGGCAGTTCCATATGGGTCGGTGCCGTTGCTTGTCCGTGAATTACCCAAAGTATATCTTGGGAAATTGTTGATGCTCATTGCCCAGCAAATGGAGAGTCACCCTCACTTGGAGTTTGCACTTCGTTGGCTGGGCGAGATACTGAGTGTCCACGGTCGATACATCAAGGAGAGGCATGGCGAATTCGCAGCCGAGCTTCGCTCAATCCTTCGCGGAGTTGACAGCAGAGGGAAAACAGTCCGCAGTCTCAGTGAACGGAATGTCTTTGAGATTGAATTCTTGTGCCAACAGCCTAAAGGGGGCAACCAACTGATGTCGACAAATCTGTATCAACACAACCACCACCCAAATGGGGGAACGGTCAACGCTGAGGATGGTGAGGCGGAATGGATTGGCTTGGATTGATTCTTCCTTTTGACTATTGTTTACACAATGATACCCACGAGTGAAGTGACATGAATAGATGCACATAGTCTCGAATGCGCCAGTAGCCTCGGGCGAAAGAGACATGATATCAACCAAAGCTCTCGATTAAATCGCATATTTGCCGTTTCTAGCACATCTTTAGAGATGCTTGTCATTGACCATCCACAAACGAGGCACCTTGACTCTGGCCCCGAGGCTCTGAATGATTCCCAGTTGTGAGGCTGAGGCCCCTTTTGCCCGTGTTAATTCACCTCGTTAAAATGCTCTTAGCGCCTTGGCATTGAAGTTACTTTCAATTTTCTGCACTGAACGAGGAGGATTTGATGTGACAAGGTTGCACGACACAAAATGGACCGACCTTCCAGGAACTTCCGACCCAGAAGACTCGATGTGTACAGATGTTGATGAAGCCTGAACAATGATGGGAGCTCTTCCAGACCGGGGAACAGGACTCCGGCTACCCCTTGATCCGGCATGGACATCTGAGGACGAATACATCCAGTCTGTGCTGAACTTCGCAACGAGTTCCGACCTCTTTCGAAATCTCTGTGGCGGTGTCCACATCCTTGATTTCCTGACGCGAGAACCGGACCTCTATGAAACGGTCCTGCCTCTGGAATGGCGCGACTGGTTCGACAAGGTGGAGATTGACGATGTTCTCGACCTGCTTCTGAGAAATGACTTGGAAGAATACGCCCAAGTGTCGTCAGCTACTTCTGATCCAAGCCACTCTCCCCCAACAACCCTGCTGGAGTATGTGCATACAGTCCGAAAACACTGCCTTCGCAGACACTTCACTCCCGTCTCAGACGAAGTTTCAGACGTGCCGAGACAGGTCTGCGTGGGCATGAACACCAAGAAGGTCCATGAAGTGACGAATTTCGCCGCATATGTGGCTAGACTCTCCAAAGATGTCTCACAACGACTCCAAGAACCCATCTCAGTTGTCGATTTTGGCTCTGGGCAGAACTACCTGGGCCGAACGCTGGCGTCTCCACCATACAACCAGCATGTGGTGGCCATAGAGAGAAAACATCACAACATTACCGGCGCTAGGTCGATGGACGTCCATGCGAAACTGGCGCAGAAGGAGAAGATCATGCGTAATAAGAAAGAATGGAAACGGCAGATGGGACGGAAGGATGAGATGTCTACCCCTCCTCTTGTCTCGGAGGAACTTAACTCGGAGCCATCACCCATACCGGAGATGTTCGCGGCGGCAAAGATCCTGGAGAAAACGGACCTCGATCCAGACAGCGGGTCAATGACGTATATTGAACACGACGTCAAGGACGGACATCTCGAGAATATCCTTTACCCGTTAGAGGCTCCTCAAAAGTTGAACGAAGGACACCCTGAAAATGTCGAAGCTCCTACTGCAACGAAAACAACAAATGGACTCGTTGACAAAAGCAAGGAAAGGCCGAAAGCCATGGTCATCTCGCTCCACTCCTGCGGCAATCTTTCTCACCACGCGCTGCGTTCTCTGACTCTTAATCCCAGCGTCTGCGCTGTCGCCGTAATAGGCTGCTGCTACAACTTGGTCACCGAGCGACTTGGGCCCGCAACATATAAGCTCCCACAACTGCGCCCGAATCACCCGCGGCTGGAGGCCACGGGCTCGGCATATGACCCACATGGATTCCCAATGTCCCGCACTTTGGAGGACTTCCAGGACGCCGACGGCGGGCGAGGGGTAAGGCTGAACATCACGGCGCGGATGATGGCCGTGCAGGCGCCGTACAACTGGGGTCCCTCGGACAGCGAGGCCTTCTTCCGGCGGCACTTCTACCGCACGCTGCTGCAGAAGATCCTGCTCGACCTTGGCGTGGTCAAGCAGTGTCGCGACCCGGGCAAGCAGGAGGTCGCTGGGGGCAGCATCACGGGGCGAAACGAGGCCGGCACGCCTCTCATCATTGGCTCGCTTCGGAAAGCCTGCTTCACAAGCTTCCGGGCCTACGTGAATGGCGCGCTGGAGAAGCTGAAGGCCGATCCCATCGACGGGCCCATGGTGGAAGCCCTAACCAAAGACAAACTCACCGACGAGGTGATTGACGACTACGAGCGACGTTTCTCATACGCGAAGAAGAACTTGGCCGTCATCTGGAGCCTCATGGCTTTCAGCGCCGGTGTCGTCGAGAGCATCATCGTCACGGACCGCTGGCTCTTTCTGCGAGAGCAGCCGGATATAGCGGACTGCTGGGTCGATATTGTCTTCAACTACAAGCAAAGCCCGCGGAATTTTGTGGTCGTGGGCATCAAGAATCAGAAATGAGAGAGTTTAGGCTCTTACTCAACCGTCACATGAATTCAGTTTCTAGAATTGGCAGGGATCTAGGACTCAAAAGATGTCTATCCGGCTGACAGAAACGAGGATGGGCACAAGCTGATAACAAAGACCTCGCACAATATGTCAGTCACCTCCAAGCACCAACGAATCCCTCGCTCACTCTACAGCTTCGTGATCGGCGTGACACCCTCCAAAAACCCACCTTTCACCACCGCCGAGATCAACTGGTTCGCAATTGCCGTTGGAGGCGGTAATCTCAACCCGCCCTCCTTGTACCCCTCTGGGGGCGGATCACCGAGCCCGCTTGTCCCGTTCTGGAGAGCCTCTTGAACCTCCTCCAACGTGAACCATTTCGCCATTTCCAATTCGGGATCGTACTCCAAGCGGATCGCCTCGTCCTCCGGCGACGCCGCCTGCGCAATGGCACCAATCATCAAGTTCGCCGGGTACGGCCAGGGCTGGGTGGAATGCACGAGGACGCGCGACAGTACGACTCCGGACTCCTCCCAGACTTCGCGACGGACGGCGTCCTCGACACTCTCGGCTGGCTCAATGAAGCCCGCGAGTGTGGAAAACCAGTGGGGTGGCCAGCGCTTTTGTCGGCCCAGGAGGAGGCGTTTGCTGTCGTGGCTGAGGACGGCGACGATGACGGTGGGATCGGTGCGGGGGAACGTCAGGTTCGAGAGCGTGGTCCGGGTAGTGCAAGGTTCGCGCTCCTGGGGGGTTTCGGCTTTATCGGTGGGGGGACAGACTCTTTTGGCGCCGGCGTGCGTGGAGAGGGTTCTATGACCACACGTGCCGCAGAAGGTGTTGCGGTAGTTCCAGTCGAGATAGTGGCGGCCCTGAGCGTACTGGGCAGCTTTTGATTTTTCACACCCTGAGGTCAGCACGCGGCCACGGAGGGGGGAAGTTTTTCGGCCAGGGTATCACTTGACAAACTCACCAATGTCGGCCGGGAAACTCATGGCCCGCATCCCCTCACTAAACTTGAGCCCATTTGCCGTAAACGACTCGATCAACTCGTTGGCCTCCTTCTCATATGTCTTCTTGGGCGTGATGTCCACGGCCCAGTGCGGCGCACCCGTGAAATTCTTGTACGAGTAGCCGTCGGTGACCTTCTCGTCCAGCCCCAGAAAGACCACCTGGGGGATATCTATGCTCGAGTCGAAGTCGGCGATGATGTCCTTTTCGGGCCGCGCGAACGGGTTCTCGGGGAGGATGGTCTTGATCTCGTCGTAGGTCGCAAAGTGGATCTCGGTAGGGGACTTGACCAGCGGGGAGAGGGTCTTGAAGACGAGGAAGCGCGCCGACGGGTGCGCAAACGCGCCGGCGAGGAAAGGGTAGTCTTCGCGGAGGAACGAGACGCGGTTGATTGGCGATCCTACCGCAAAGAAATGAGAAGAAACAAAATGTCAGGATCCCTTGGGTCAGAGAAGAGAGAGAGAGAGAATGATTCAAAGAGGGCTGTCCAACTCGAGATAGAGACTCTACTCGTCATTGCAAGCGTGTGGGAGGAAGTCCTGCTCACCTCCGAAATAATTCGTCACCTCCTTTCCGAACTTGCGCCCGAGCGCAGAGTCGCGCTCGAGGTGTGCCGGAGTGGGTAGTTCTGGGTGCGGGATGGCGGCGGCCATGTTGCTCAGCTCGGTGACGATGTGAGGAGCTCGGACGCCTGAATGAGCAAATCTGTGGTGCCCGACGCAACAACGGAGTACCAGTCTATGTCGTATGCATAGAGAGGGAGTCCTGATCATATACAAAAACAAAAAGGGAAGAAGAAAAAACGCAAAGCAGAAGTTGTCGATGTGTGTGCGTGGATGAGAGGATGAGAAATCGAGGAGAGGGGAATGGGAGATGTGGGAGACGAAACGAACGGGTCTCCCCGAAACGAGTAAGTCTCAGTTCAGTCAGTCAGTTAATGCTTGTTGTGCGCATTTCCGAGATCCTCTAAGGGGTCGTTAGAGCTTCGATTTTCGAGAAAGATCCCCCCCCGGACCCAACAGCGACCCCTCGATTACACTGATGGTCGCGCAATCGACTTGATTGATTTGTCTGCCTCGGGTTTCGGGTCAACCATGCGTCCATTGAAAGTGGCTGCGCGGGACCATGGAGAGTTTGACCCCTCACACGTGATGATAAGAGATCATCTCTGTGACCGGTATCGGATTCCCAGCCGAGCGGAATCCTTGGCAGGATACCTTAGCTGGCAATATTTCTAAATTGCTAGTCCGATGTGTCCTACCCTGTCGCCAGGGCATTCTTTGTCCTGCATTCTTGGTTTGGAACTATGATGCACGGTCGCCTTGTCGCCATCTTTCACCACCTAGCCTGGTATCGAACCAAGGTGAGCCGCCTGGTGTTCCCCTTCAAATGGCATCGAAAGGGCCAAGTGAAGTGTGGTTTAGAAGAGAGTGGTCTACGCGACAAGATGGCTTCTTACGTGTTGTTGAGGACGTTAAAACGCTTATAACTGTGCTATCTCTCATTGACCCTCATCGATACATAGCAACTCAGATCTCAGATTTGCTCGGTTCTCGCCAAGGGGATTCTCGCTGGCTCAACACGAACCCTTCAAACCCATTCTCGATACATTCGTCGATGGCCTTGCGGTAGCTAGGCAACCCGGCAACATAATTCAGAGACTCGCGTGGCTTTCCTGGGATGTTGCCGCCCATGTACCAGCTCGTTTCGTTCTTGGGAATCAGGGTCAAATTGGCGTCGTCGTTGGTGGTCTTGCCCCATTTGGCCTCGGCGTCGCGGGTCGCGTCGATCCGTGTCTGGTTGTTCTGCTTCATGGCCTCGAGGGTCTTGATGATCCAGTCGCCCTGGATCTCGGAGATGGTGGGCCCGATGGCGAACGCGGTCGGACTCTGCGGGCCGTACATGAACAGCATGTTGGGGAAGCCGGACGTCGCCATGCCCAAAAATGTCCGGGAGCCGTTTGCCCAGTCGTCCTTGAGTGAGAGGCCGTCGGTGCCCTTGATGTCTATCCGCGTGAAGCTGCCCGTCACAGCGTCAAACCCGGTCGCGAGGACGAGGATGTCCAAGTCGTATTCTTTCCCATCAGCCGTGCGCAGTCCAGTCGGTGTGATCTCCTCAATCGGGTTCTTCTTCAGGGGCACCAGGTTGACATGTGGCAGATTGTATACCTCGTAGTAGTCTTGCTCCAGAGATGGACGCTTGGTGCCGAAGGGATGGGGTGGCTTCTCGGGGGCCAGGTTTTCTTTTAGCTCGGGGTCGTCCTTGGTTATTCTCGCCCGGACCTTGTCACGCCAGAAGTTGTACATCAACGTGTTGACCTCCTCGTTGCCCATGAGGTCGCTGTAATTGCCGAGCCAGGGGTTGAACCCTCCTTTCTTCCAGAGAGACTCCCAAAACCTCAGCCTCTCAGCCTCGTCGTCTTCCAATCCCTTACGTGGGTCCGGGTTATAGTCCCATCCAGCATAGGTTTGCTTCATGAGTTTAAACAAATCCCCGTATCCCTTCTTCTTGGCCATTTGCAGCTCCACGTTGAGCTTCTGCTGGCCCATGGGCATAGAGTAGTTTGGCGTCCGTTGGAAGACGGTGAGCTCCTTGGTGACCCTCCCGATCTCCTGAATCACTTGAACACCGCTGGCGCCGGTTCCAATGACACCAACACGCTTGCCCCTAAAGTCAATCCCACCCTTTGGCCATCGAGCGGTGTGACAAGCGATGCCCTGGAACGTTTCCAATCCCTTGAGGGGAGGAACGTAGATCTTGGCTGCAAACCCCGTTGCGAGAAGCAGGAACCTCGTCACGGCTTGAGTGTCGTTGTTGGTGTGCACGAGCCATTTCCGCTCCTTCTCATTCCACTCGGCGCCCGTCACCCGCGTGCCGAACAGGATGTCCTTGCTCAGATCCCACTTCTTGTCGACGTACTTGAAATACTCGGTGAGTTCCTTCTGGCCCGGAAAGGCCTCGTTCCAGTTCCAGTCAGCCCAGAGCTCTGGGTCCGAGAACTCGTAAAACGGCGCGCTGGTGTCGACGCGGGCACCGGGGTACGAGTTGTGCCACCATACACCGCCGAGGCCTTCTCCCTCTTCGAATAACTTGACGTTATAGCCGAGTTTGCGCAGGTTGCGAAGAAGGTAGCACCCACCAAATCCTCCACCCACAATGATCGCGTCGTATTCTTTCACGCCGTTTTGAGCCATACTGGCGCCCTTTTTTTCTTTCTAAGAACCGAAAAAAGCTTTACTTTGAAAGGTATTCCGGTAAAGTGGCACAGGCGCAAGAATTTCGGTCCCGGTTCCTGGGACGAGAGAGGGTATTAATCAAGACATCAAGTGTCGACCAGTTAACCATGACTCGAGGTTCTCCTACATTGCATGATCTTTTTGAATTCCCGTGAAACGATCACCTTTCCCAACGCCCAAACACGCGGGGAATCACCCGATTCCCTCGGGAATGAATGGCCGTCAGTGTAGAGAGCCTGGTCTCGGCCACCGCTACCCGTAACTGGGGATAACAGGTTCTAATAGTATAGAGCGCTTGGCTCCAGTTACCCCGCTAGAATAGATGGAACAGATCTCTACCGGTCCAATGGACACTGGTTATTTATGAGGGGTGACCCCGGAGTTCATACACCGAGACCCACAATCGAAGCGATGCCTCCCGCAAACCAGAACGTCCCAGTGGGCAGGGCAAAGTTGATGGGCTTAGAACTCGCATACACTGTAAGGGTGAAGCAGGGGTTTGTCAATCATCTCTTACTCCCTGGTGATCCAATCCTCGGGCTAGAGATGGGGCACCAAGGCATAGGACGTGTTCGTGTGCTTGGTGGCAATGCAGACGGATGCAAGTGACCAAGACTCTGGCTTGTAAAGGGCTTCTGTTGCCGGTTGCTCCTGGAGTGGCCCTCAAAATCCGTAGTTTGGTCTCTTACACGAAGTTTTATGTGAAGAGGCTCTTGTGCACAAGACTGTGATTGTTGGTGGTTCTTCTCGCAGGGTATACGGCGGTGGACTTCCGTACTGCCTGTATCTCTCTAGATAACCTGAGCGTAGGGACATGTCGCCGAAACTGTTGCCCGTGATGAACCGGTAAGCATGGACAGGAAAATGATTGAGAGAAGACGGAGGTAGACGAGAGTGGCACTGGCTATAAGAATGGATAATACGTCGGTAGATAAGGGAAGCCATATGTGCACGGACCGATACTACTATAGTTCTCCAGACAGTACAAGCTATATAGGATCCCGCCACCAAGTCCTCTACATTACTAAATCTCGATGGCTATCAGACTACTAGTCAAACTATCATAGCTCCCGGCTCTGACTCTTACGAGGAAGCTGTATCAAGGGTGGGAGTGTGGCTCCTTCCATCGAGATACCTTGGTCTGTCCATTTTACTCAAGTATCCCGTTGGACATTTGACTGTGGGCAGTGAAATTGGTCATGTCCAACATATCAATAACTAGAGTGTCTGTGAGATTTGAGATCCTTGATCATCTATACGAGAAGCAGCAATACAATATTATAGTTCAATCCGCGCCCGTCTATCTTCACCAGCCTTGCCGGAAGTTCAGAAATCTGCCCGGGAACGGCGTGAGGGGAGCCATTTTCACCCCCGTGTCTGCCGCGGAAGTGTTTCGCCGTCAAGGTCTCCGCCTGCTACTCGAGGTGTGCACTTAGTTACAATACTATCTAGCATCTTCGAGGTGAATGTGTGCCCAACGCATAATGTCTGGCTGACGGTAAGCAGGCATAATTTGCATTTTATTTATGAAAACAAACACTTCCCCTACCCAAACTCGCCCTCACCCTGTTGTTGCTCCAATATGGGGTCAACAGAAGGCCTCAGCAATGGGCTATTGCCAGCATATGGTCAGAGATTACTACCACACATCCTTCGTGATCTTGCAAGAAGTGAGCCCACCGAGCCTGTAGCGATCATCTTCGAACACCCAGACATATTTGCCGGACACCACACCGTCGCAGCCGCAGAACTATACCATGCCGTCAATGCCACGGCGTGGTGGATCAAACATCATGTCGGCCACAGTGAGGGTTTTGAGACGCTGGCGTACATCGGACCTTCTGATCTGCGCTACGAAATCATCCATATAGCGGGCATTATGTGTGGCTACAAGGTTCGCAGACCTTGCCTCTGCGAAACCGGCTGATGCTAATGGGGCGGGTCGTGAGGGTAGCTCCTTTGCATCTCGATACGAAATTCAGATGCGGGATACTTGTCTCTGCTCGAGGCGACGAAATGCACCAAGTTCGTTTGCACTTCCGAGCTGCTCCACCGCGCAAGTCACATCAAGGGCCTGGTCGAAGACCTGCAGGTCTTTACCCTGCCATCGTATAGGAAGTTGATTGCCGAAGAAACACCCGAGTATGTCTATGAAAAGACTTTTGCAGAAGCAGAAGACGATCCCGTCTTGATCTGCCACACTTCCGGATCCACAGGTGAGCGAGCAGGTGCCAAAACATTCTTATTATGACCAGGGCTTATTTGTGGTGTAAACAGGAGCACCGAAACCCATCACCCTCACCAACGGCAATTGGGCCGTGGTCGACAATCTGCGCAAGATTCCAACCACACCAGGGAGAAAGAACCAGGATTGGTCCATATTCAGTTTCAAGGACAGGGACTTGTTCATTTCAAGCTTTCCACCCTTCCACGTAGGCGTGTCAATTCACACTCTTTTGTTCGAAGTGCTGAATTGTGTGTCCAGGCAACAGGCATGATCGCGGGCATGCTGCCGTTGATGTACAATTCAATAGCGGTGATTCCACCCCCAGACCGACCTACCACAGGTGAGATGTGTCTGGCAATGATGCGCTATCTGGAACAGCAGCAGTATACACTTCGAGGTCTGCTGGTGCCGCCGACCGTCATAGAACAACTGGCTCAAGAAAGCGAGGGCCTCGATTACGTCTCGAAGATGGATTTTGTCATGTTCACGGGTGGACCACTGGCACCGTCTGTCGGGGACCAAGTTAGCCAAAAGACGGACATTTGCCAACTCATTGGCTCGACTGAGACCGGCCCTATCCCTGGCCTGGTGCCACCCAGGAGCGATTGGGCCTACTTTGAATGGCAGCCCTTTTACAACGTCGACATGGAGCCTCGGGCCGATGACACATATGAACTGGTCCTCAAGCAGCAGCCCGAGCTCCGGTGGATTCGCACAGTGTCCCATACGATGCCGCATCTGGATGTCTGGAAGTCCTCCGATCTTTATCGCCCGCACCCCACGAAACCCGGGCTCTGGCGCTTCCACGGTCGGCTCGATGATGTCTTGGTTCTCTCAAATGGTGAGAAGTTCAACCCTGTGCCGATGGAGGCGATCATACAAGGTCACCCTCTGCTGCGAGGAGCTCTTTACTACGGCCAAGGGAGATTCCAGCCGGCTCTCCTGGTAGAGCCAAAGTCGGACGTACCAAAGTCTTCGCATCGCGATTTCATCAAACAAATATGGCCTTTGGTGGAGAAGGCCAACCTGGAGGCTCCACGACACGCTCACCTGTTTCCGGACAAAGTGGTTGTAGCCTCCTCTGAAAAGCCATTCAGGAGGGCCGCCAAAGGGACGGTTGTTCGCAAAATGACGTGGAAGGACTACTCTGAAGAGCTAGACGCACTGTACTCGGAATCTAATGGCGATGAAAGTCAATCAGGCGTCGTTCATCAGCTCGATGACCCGCGCGACTTGGTTGCGATCACCAACTTTGTCCGCGAATGCATCAACGATCTTCTTGAGCAGCCTCCCAAGTCCGACCATCAGGATCTCTTCGCCCTGGGGGTGGACTCTTTACAGATTTTGGAGATTTCCAAGCGCCTCTCGGCCGGAATCAAGCAGCATCTCCTCCGGGACTCGAGAAACGGCATCACCTCGAAGCAAATCTATGCGCATTCTTGTGTGACGGATCTGGCAAGATTCGTTCACACAGTCCTGAATGGTCACGCGCCGGATGCCAATGGCGAATCCAATCGGGAGGATGTCATGGCAAGCCTGGTGGAGAAGTATACGCAGCGATGGCGGCAGAATGAGGTATTTGCCAACTCCGTCATATTGACGGGCACGACGGGATCGCTAGGCACATATTTGCTGTTGGCACTTCTGAACGATCCCAGCGTAGACAAGATCTACTGCTTCAACCGCACCGCCGACGCCAAAGAGAGACAACGACGGGGATTCCTCAACATCGCCGCCAGCCATGACGTCGACGATCCACGCTTGATCTTTGTGACGGTGGACCTGGTTCAGCCGGACTTTGGAATCTCTGCAGACCTGTACCGCGAAATCCTCCAGAACACTATCGTCATCATCCACAACGCGTGGAAAGTCGACTTCAATCACAAAGTCGGATCGTTTGAGCCGGTAATCGCCGGAGTCGCGGGCCTTGTGGAATTCACACGGACGAGCGCACGACGGCCGCATCTGCTCTTCGTCTCGTCGGTCTCCTCGGTGGGCAATTGGGCAGAAGTGACTGGGGAGAACTCGGCAGCGCCCGAAAGACCCATGACCGACTTCCACGTCGCCCAACGACAAGGTTACGGCGAATCGAAGCATGTGTCGGAGCAGATCCTGCAGATTGCGGTGCAAGAGCTCGGGATCCGCGCCAGTATTCTGAGGGTCGGTCAGATCGCTGGGCCGCTGGAAGGAGGCGGCAGCTGGCACGAGGTCGAATGGTTCCCTTCGCTCGTGAAGTCGTCCAAAGCGTTGGGCAAGATTCCGGATTTCTTGCCCGACGTGAACTGGATCCCGGTCGACCGCCTCGCCAGCATCGTGGTAGATATCGTCCGCGCCGACCACAAAGACGACCTGCAAGTCTTTAACCTCGTCAACCCTCGGTCCGTGCCTTGGTCGGCATTCGTATCTACGATCCAGAAATGGTTTCAACCCATAAAACTAGACGTCGTTCCCCTCGTCGACTGGATTGCTGCCCTGGAAGCAGTGGATGTCAATGATCCCGGTGCGGTGGCCTCTGTGCCGGCCGTCAAGATCATCGACTTCTTCAAAGGTATCGCCGAAGGGGACCGGCAAAGTCCCTTGTACGAGACGCAACGAGGAACGGAGTGTAGTAAGACCATGGCCGAGTTGGCCCCTGTCAGCTCGGACTGGATGAGGATTTGGCTGGGTCAATGGAAGTTCTAGACAAGGCATGCTGCGGTGTGGGCTCATTCCCGTCTAGCTGGGAACAGAGGTAGCGTATAGTATACTATGGTGAACTGCGTTTTGAAAGTTCACCCCCGTTACGCGCCGGATCCGATATTCTAGGCGATTCAGAATGAATCTATTGTCTATCTCCTGCCAAACACGCAGCCTGACACTTTTATGGGCAGGTATTCTGATTGATATACCGAGGCAGAGGGGATCTGACAAGCAGGAGTACAGGACCAAAGAACCCACATGACTTTGTCTCCAAGTATATTCAGCACCATAGAGCGAACCAAGCTCGATACTCAAAAGATGGCCATACAGTTCGGTGGCGACGATACCGCTCTCGGATGGTTCAGGGGGCTGCTCGTGACAAAAAAAGTCCATCTGCCCAGCCGCTTGCACGTCTCAGCCAGACGCTCCAAATCGAACATCTCTCCAATGGGGACACCCCACCCCGCGAGCAGGATATGGTGTAAATCCCATTGGGGGTCGTGGTTGGGTCGGACCTCGAAGCTGACGCCATCGCCCGCGACGGCCACGATGTGATTGTCCCAGAGGAAGCGGGCGACCCTCTCCCCCTGCTCCAGGCCCGAGTGCTTGTGCTGCTTCGCGGCCGTGTCGGCGCGGTACTGTCGCTTCTGGTCCATGGACAGCGCGTCCCACGTCTTGGTGAAGCCGCAGCGCAGGAAGAAGATGTCGCCCGGGCGGAACTCGATCTTGCACTGCCGCGCGATCTCGTAGACGTCGTCCAGGGTGATCTTCTGGCCGCCGATGCCGTTGACACTGATGCCCTTCTGCTCCGCGTACGAGACGTAGTCGATCAGAAACCCTCGACTCGCGATGCCGTCCTGCGCCCAGAACCCGATCCCGATCCTCGCGCTGCCGGGGTCGTTGATCTCCTCGGATTGCGTCCCTCCGTAGAAGACGCGACCCTTTCCGTCCTCGGTCGCGGTGCTGAAGTGTCGAAATCCGTCCCATTGGGACCCTGCCTGCGGGTTGAAGTGCCACACGTCATCCCACGCGATGCCTTCGTAGTTGGGGATCGTTTTGATCTCGTGCACGACGGGTTCGCGACCGAATCCTAGAGGGGAGAAAGTCCATCCATCATTTGTCTTGAAAAACTTCTCTCTCTGTGTGACCTCTAAGATTCGAAGACTGGGAAGGGGTTATTTGTGCCTACCTGGCGTCTCCAACTTTGTCATCTCCCAATTCAAGCAGACCCGTTCGCCCGTCCGGATCTCTGACTGTGCCGCCGCGGCGACGTGCTCGGGCGTCAAATACCGAAGCATCCCCAGACCTTCCTCGGCGCTGGACGGTTCGCCGACCCAGAAGCGCCTCTTGTCTTTCAACTCATCAAACGACGGTAACTCGCTAAAGGATTTTGGTGCCATTTCTTTTGTCGGTCGTCGGTCGTCGGTCGTCGCTTGGCGTGGCGATAGGTACGTACTTGCACGCTAGTCTCTAAGATTCTAAGCAGTCGTAACAAAGTGAGCGGGCCAAAAATAACCAGTGTATACAAGTATTTATATCGACAACTCGTTTGGTTAGAATCCAGGGTGTTGTTCCCATGGCAATTTTCGGCCCGGCGAGGGGTAAAGGCGAGTTAGCGTCCCGGACATTGGTCCCCGGATGAGCAACTGAACAACCACCCAAAAAATCTACGTTGCAGGGTAAGGAGACGATCGTCTCGGGGTAAATGTGAGAAAAAGCGATGGGCAAGGTCTAACTGTTTGTTTCCGCTCGCTTCGTGGCATCTCCCCGCAATCATGCAAACACTTGCGAATTGAGATTTCCCCGGATAGAATGTGGAGAGAACAAGTAGGATGCACTGTCCATCCTTTGAATCTCCATAATTACCCCCAGATTGCTCCCCGTAGGTATACGAGTATACTGAGCTGATTGATTCACCCGGAGTTGACTTGTCACCCCGTCATTCATTTCATGGCAGTTTCCTTGGGGATTTTGCTCTCGGATGAGGGGGCCTCCCGGGGATCTTACAAAGGTGTTAGCCATTCCAAAAAAAGACTCCCTTTCGTGCAGAGTTCAGAATCCATTTCTGTTCGACAGCGAATATTACGGGGAAAGACGTCAGTGCCACAAGCTTGGCTATCTGGCTACCTAGGTATCTATCTACCCCGGAAACTCGAAGACGGTGTTTGTACCGCATTGACAAGCCCGGGCGGGTATTATTCCGAATACAGTTAGAACGTAAAAGTGGGAGCGGAATATCCACATCGAGAATGTGATGTTCCCCAATATGGTTCCGAGGTAATAATTATTATTACGAGACCGAGCACTCCAAGTGCATTTCGGACAGCCGAGTCAAGGATCGAGCCTATTTGAACCTTCACAGTCCAAGAAAGTACATAAAAACGCAAAGACACTCGCGAATCATCTGAAAAGTTTTTGCCTGGTCTGTTCCCACAGTCAAGTTGGTCACGTAAACAACAGCGTCAAACTCTGGGTGTAAGTCGGAGTAACGCAGATGAATGTCATGGTGCTGTTGGTCTTCTTTGAGTCACCGCCGATCTGCTATGTACAAAACAGTCCAAGAAACAGCGAGTCTCTTCCATATTATCATTCCTGCCATTGACATTGGCCTGTTCCACAATCCCGCGAAAGACCACCCTTTTTTGTGTATGAGAGAGAAACACTTTCACTGGCGTTCCTCAAAAAGCACGACCCCCGGAGAAACTAGGTACTTGGTCCATAGGAACCATCTCTCAACAAGGATTCAAGTAAGGAAGGAACAAACTTCCATTGTAACTTTTCAGACGTCACCTGTGACTCTAGTGACGCCCTCGGCGTGGACTTTCCCCTCCTTCTCGAGCATGATGTCATCAATGACATCGTCGCCGTGCGCGTGGTCGACCAGCACGTTTCTGTTTGCGTCTAGAACAATGTCGCGCTGGTAGACAGCCACTTCGTCCTCGTCGCCGAAGAGGGCGCCAATCTCCTCGAGTGGTTTGCCCATGGTGTCTGGGAAGAAGAGGATGATGCAGATGGCGCCCAGGGTGCCGGGAATGATGAAGCAGAGGTAGTACTTCCATCCGATGTGGCTGGGAAACATCAGTGAGTTAGAAATAGATCCATGCTTTGAAGTTGAAAACAAGTTGGGAAGGGAGGGGGGGGGGAGTGGCTTACTTGAATGCGGTTGGGGTGACAGATAGCCACATGACGTTCATGGCCGCGATCACGGCGAAGCCAATCGAGACGCCTTTAGCTCGAAGATGTGACGGGAACAGTTCATTGAAGTAGGAGAATTGGGTGCCTGTCTCCTAGGTCAGCGGAGTTCTCTGTAGTAGTATTGTGCTCCCGAGGTATTCGGGCCAGGAAGCACTTACCATAGAGTTGAATTCCGTAGGGGACCTGGAAGATGAAAACATGGCCACTGCAGCCAAGAGCGCGGACTTGTTGTCGGTGTTGACAAAGTTCGACACCAGTGCGGCTTCGACGATCAGACAGAGCTCACAACCGATGAGGCCAGTACCGATGAACCAGGGGCGGGAGAATAAGTCGACAGTAAACATGCCTATTATATTGGTGCCGAGGCCTAGAGTTATACACGCAGCTGGGTAGAGAAGCTGCTTTTCGGCATCGAACCCCAGGTTTTTATAGATAGACGGTCCGTAGTCTATATATTCGATTAGCTTTCCGCAGTCAGGAAGAGATGTTGCGTGGAGACGCCCGTACTGTTGATGACCAGCGGTCCTGAACATTGGATGAGCGCCGCGGTGGCGATGCACAGGTAGCAGCGTTTGCGGTATGACGGTTTCCTGATCATGTCCATACACGAGTTTCCCAGCGTTCTGTCAATGGCCAGTTGCTTATTGGTCTGGTAGAATTCGGCAGCGGCGTAGTCATTGTTGGGATTCTTGGGGTCCGCGTGCAGGCGGTAGATGATCTCCTTGGCTTCGGCGGCACGGTCTTGCATGACCAGCCATCGAGGACTTTCCGGGAGCCAATAGATCCCCGAAAGAAGGAAGATCGGCCAGGGGCAAGCCAGAGCGAGAGGGATCCTCCACGTGTGCAGGCCCCCGGATTTCCAGAAGAAGAACCCGTAGCCGATCCATCCTTGGATGAAGTACCCCATAATTCCAAAGACGGCGCCAAAGTCAACCAGCGCCGCGCGGAAGCGAGGGGGGACCACCTCCGAGATCCAGAGCTGTTGTTGTGTTAGTAGTTGCGTCTTGTTCAGGGTGTTGTATGCGTACTGGAATAGAACTGAGAAGCATGTACGATGAGGCGCCTGCGAAGAAACGGAAGGTGAGGAACATGCCGACATGGACACTTCCCGCCAGCAAGGCACCAGATATCAGATTGACAATCGCCGCCTGTAGTGATGGTGAGTAGCTGCCACCAACAAGAAAAGGGAGAGAAACTCAAGTTACCACTGTAATTGCCCATTTACGACCCCATCTGTCACTGATATATGGAACAATCAACACCCCGATTGTACTGCCAGCAAAGAAGAGACCGTTCATGGCTGAGATCAAAGCAGTCGCGTCGGATCTCTTGTCAAGCTCAAAATATTCGCTGAAGGAGGGTTGGCCTGTTGTCACAATCGTCAGTCACAGTACATGACCTAGCGAGGTTTCCCATTAGATCTGAATACATACCGAGCGTTGTTCCAATGATGGCAGCCGAGTAGCCTGACGACAGGGTGCCGAAACCGACAAAGGCCAGGATTCGGATGGTTGCCCCATTGATCTTCTGTTTCTTGGTGTGCGCTGCGACGTCCATGGTTTCAAAATACAAACGTTGCTGCTGGTTTCACAACGACGAAGACGAATGCATGTGGATGGACTGAAGTCTCGAAACAACATGGTCCAGACTTCTTAACGTCGAGCTCAAGAGACGGAGTAGTGATTATTCCGGAGATGTTGGGCCGCATCAATCTACTTCCCCAGATGTTTGAGAGTCTGGGGGACCCGCGTTTGTCGCTTCCAGGGGGTGGAGGTGGCCATGGGAGATTCATCAACGGACAATTATGGCCGCCGGTGACAGTGAGCTGGGCCTGGGGGTGATTTGTAGGTCTGGACCTGATTCGCGAGCCCTTCCACTCAGGTTGAACATGCCTGATACCCGGTCACGCGAATTCCTGAAGCCTCGTTCCGGGCCTACAACCTGATGATTCGGCGCCGAGAGGCCTCCACAGTAATAGTGTCTGATATCGGGCCTCTGATACGCGGGGCGGCAAATCCCACCTGCAATTGGAAGGTTAGCTCAAGTAACTCAAGCTACTGCCATGCAACCGGCGTGGGCACGGATGAGCCGGGGAATAGATGATCGGCCCCCGTGGTCAGAAGCTCTCCCAACCCTCAACTTAAGCAGCGAGCAGAAGAAAGCAAGACCGGAGAGTCGCCGGACAGCGAGGATTAAGAGGAGTGCAGACTCGCGAAGCATTCACAGACACTCGTTTCTGTCCTGGTCGTCAACCACTTCCGTATCTTCACTGGCGGAACCTCCCGCCGCCCCACTTTAGTTCCTATCTAGGAAGGCACCTTTGTTGATATATATGCTTAGCTAAGCGATAATTGGATCCGTGATAATTAGAGCTTGCCCTAGTTTGCCCCTATTTTGACTTTCCTCTTCTGCGTAGGACACATGCCTGCCAGGGACTGAGAAATGGAATGGACGCCCTCGCTATGTGTATGTTGGACGAACCCTTTCTCTCATCAAATTATTCTTCCTGACTACTTAACAGATGCCGAAACGCGGCCAAAGATGTCGCAGCTGCCCTGGATATCCCCTATGTGGCCACACCACCCGGGTAATAGCTGATGACGGACTGGGATGGGATCGACCTTGTTTGAGACCTACACTGAACCTTTTATCCTCGTATTCGCCCGGGATATGGTCGCCGCCAGTCACATTCCTATACCAACAATCATGGGATCCTGCTGGCTTTTGAGGGAGTCAAGTCCAAACGTCCGGGCTTGCCTCGGCTTGTCCCCGAGGTAGCCGTGGTATCTATTGAGACCAACCTGGACGAAACCATGGGGACCGCGGCAGTGATTGGCCGATATCGCTCGTTTGCCGAAAGAAAAAAAAGCTCTATTTGTATACCAATAAGTGAAATTTGTGATAGTCTGTCATCCGTTTTGGCCAGAGTCGCTTTCACCGTCATCACCACCTTCACCTTCACCGCAACCACCAATATGCCACAGCCGGGGCTAGCCGTTGCGTTCGCACGTCCAAAAAAGGGGACAGACCATCCTCTGAGCAAGCTGCACCAATGGTACGAGGAGGTCCACATCCCGGACATCCTCGCGACGAGCGGCATCAACGACGCATATCGCTATGAGAACGTCGACCCCAATTCCGAGTGGCCACTTCTGGCCCTGTATCCCGTTGCCGACATCGACTTCTTCTCGACGCAGGAGTTCAACTCGATCCCCCCGCTCGGCAAGCACGTCTTTCCCGGTCCCATCACTGATCACGTTGAGTTCCAAGTGAGGCAGTATCGGCTGACCCAAGTTTACGAGCCACGGGATATTCGCGTCTTTGGTGCGTTTTCCTCATCCTCTTCTTTTCCACGTTCCATACCCCTGTGCTTCCTAGCAATGATCAATGCATGACAGCTCCTGTCCCCAAGTGCAATAAATAATATTTTCTTTTTGCTAAAAATAATGTTACAAAAACAGAAGGCGCCCCTATCATCGGCACGGCCGCCGTCCAGCCCAAAGCCGGCGGCGAGGACGACTTCGACACCTGGTACCGCCAACAACACCTGGACATGCTGTCCATGATCATCCCGTACCGGGCCGCCACCCGCTACGAGCAGATCGACCCTGCCAACAAGCCGCGGTACCTGACCATCCACGAGTTCGACAGCACCGACATCCCCGGCGAGCAGATCCGTCGGTCCACCACGACCGAGTGGGCCAAGCGGGTTTTGGGTTCGGTGCAGTCCATGGAGGGGTATACGTGGAAGCTGACGCGCGTGTACGGGCCGTCGACGACGTTCAAGGGGCTCAAGTTGTAGGGTCCGGCTCGGTACAGGGCTTCTTTCCTCGTGGGCCGCGACGGGAGGGCTTTATCATATATCAAATCAAAATATAAAACACTCTTTATCGTATCTTTGCCTTTAACTTTCTTGTGTCTTGTCCACGGGTTCGTACCATTTAGAGGAAAATCTATCTAGATCAGTATTGATAATGCATGAAGTAAGAGCTGAAAGCTGTCTATGGAACATCAACTCTAGATCAATTTTCCGCGTCTCATGGCAGGCATGTACTAAATTCAGGCGAAGACTGTGTTGAGTCCGACTCTTCGATCTTGACGTGGGGAACGAGACTTTCAAGCACAGTCAAGCAGCCTTTGGCAAAAGCGAGGAATATATCAAATACCCTTAATCATCTATTCCACCCATTCTATACGTCCTACATACCCTATTTGTCGGGACAAAGGATGCTCGCTCCTCCAGAACTGTCTGATGGACTTCTACAAACGAGGCGGAACCTGCTCGGCACCACTTCCGTCAATCTTCTCAGAAGTCCCGACAACCACGTCGAATCCGTCCCACGTCTCCAGCGCGGCCTTGCACACCTCGGCATACCGGGCGACGCCATCGAGGTAGAGGAGCTGCTCGCGCGGCTTCCCGGGGATGTTGGCGCCCATGTACCAGCTGTCGGTGTAGGGGAAGAGGGTGCGGCTGTTGGCGCGTTGGATGTCGTCGTGCCACTTCTGCGCCGCGGCGGGCCGGGCTTCGATCGAGACGACGTCCTCGGCGCGCATCTTGGCCACGGTGTCGGCGATCCAGTCGACTTGGATCTCGATGATCGGGGGCCCGTTCGACAGCGACGTCGGCGCCTGCGGGCTGTACACCATGAACAGGTTCGGCATCCCGCAGATCGTGAGGCCCAGGTGCGTGTACACGCCGTCCTTCCACTTCTTGGAGAGCGGCACGCCCGCTTTGTCCGTCAAGCCCATGGTCGTGAGACTGCCCGTGACCGAGTCGAAGCCCGTGGCGAGGATGACGATGTCGAACTCGTGCAGTTTCTCCGTCGTCAGGATCCCCGTCGCCTGAAACTCGACGATCGGGTGCGTCTTCAGGTCGACGACCGTAACGTTGGGCCGGTCGATCATCTCGTAGTAGTCCTGCTCGAGGCTGGGTCTCTTCGTGCCGAAGAAATGCGGCTGCTGGAGGGGCGCGACGACGGCGGCCTTTTGCGGGTCCGTGACGCGCTCGCGCACCTTTTTCAACCAGAACTCGTAGACGAGCGCGTTGGCGCGTTTGTCGGTGATCAGGTCGCGGTAGTTGGACGATGAGAAGGAGAAGCCGCCTCGCCGCCACAGCTCCTCGAAGTACGCCTCGCGCTCTTCAGGGGACACGGCCCACATGGACGTGGTCGCGGGGTTGTAGGGGATGCCGCCTCTCGACAGCTTCGCGGCCTGGTAGTACGCGGCGTAAAAGACCTTTGCGCTCTCCTGCTCCTCCACGGGCAACTTTCGCTGGCGCATCGGAAAGGCGATGTTGGGCGTCCGGATGAAGACGGTGAGCTGGCAGTCTTCCTTGGCCGTCTCCTGGACGATTTGCACGCCCGTGGCCCCGTTACCGATCACGGCCACTTTCTTGCCCGAGTAGTCGACTTGATGGCTCGGCAAGGACCCAGAGTGGATCAGGATGCCCTTGTAGTCTCGCAGGTTCTTGAAATCGGGGTAGTACTGCTTGTACGTGGACCCCGTCGCGGCGACGAAATACTTTGACGTGATGACCGCACCGTCTTGGGTCTTGGTCGTCCAGCGGCTCCCGTCCCAGGCCGCCTCGGTGATGATGGTGTTGAAGAAGGCGTCCTTGCTCAGGTCCAGGACCTTGTCGACATGTGCAAAGTACCGGCGAATCTCGTTGTGATCGGGGAACCGCTCGCTCCAGTCCCACGTCCGCCAGAGCTCGGGGATCGACAGCCCATAGTACGGCGACTCGGAGTCGACGCGGGCGCCAGGGTACCGGTTCCAGAACCAGGTTCCGCCAAAGTCAGATCCCGCTTCGAAGAGCTTCACGCTCAGCCCGAGCTGGCGGAGCTTGTAGACGGCGTACATGCCTCCGAATCCGCCTCCCACGACCACGACGTCAATGTCGAGGTTGTTGATGAAGGGCGAAGGCGTAGCGGTGCCATTCGCGTAGACATTTTCGCTGATGGACCCCATCACTGCAAGTTCTCTTTGTAGTTGAAGTCCGGTTTTTGGAAACAGATCACAAGGACTTTGATGTTGACTGTCGAAATCGAACTTCTGGGCGAGTTTCCAGGGGTGGCTTTCTCGACAGGCCTAGGGAACCATGGATCTAGAGATCTCGTATATTCACTCCCTAGTTCACCCCTGTGGACTTAACTGCAATAACCTGTTTTAAAGACCGGCCAACACATCGTGACGGATAATCAACACCGTACGAGTCGTAAGATGGGTGGTCCGTCACATGATTGTAGGATGTGATATAAGAAATCCAAACCCGGGAAATTATGCCCGCTGTCTAGATTGGGTGGAAAAAGGTTGGCCTGCTTGATCCTTACCTCCGTTGCTAAGAGACGGATCAGTATTGCGCGGTGCTTGCTTGCGTGGACGGGGGCATAGGATCGAACGGCATCTCCTCTCGTCCTAGAGCTGAGTGAGCTTAGTTCCGGATTACCTTCCCCTAGCATGAATTTGTCGTACCAGAGAGGCGAGAGCCGGCCGTACTCTATTGCTTGTATAGACTTTGATGTGCGAGAGGTACAGACAGATTCTTTCGTGCAATCGCGCAGAAGAACATTGGCGCAAAAGACTATCAACAATTTGTAGCTATTCGCTGTTTCTTGTGCTCGTCGAAGAGTGGATGTCTATGATTGCAAGTGCTCTTACATACTCCGACATAAAACATCACCACAGAGACGTGACATTCTGCATCAAGCACCATTTCTCGCACTGTCTTCAAGTACCTTGACTGCGTGCTCCATCTTGCGGTACTGCGCTGTGAAGCTGGGGTATAAGAAGGGTCTCATATCATATCGATGATCATCCGGCGAATATCTAAGCAATGGTGAGTAGAAGTTTCAAAGACATAACGTAAGCGGCCAAAACGGTGGCTTTCATCGCATATTCTCTTTGACACTTACTGTTCCATGTGCAATCCTGGAGTGAGGGTGGTTTGCTTATGTCTGTTGATTGCATAGTAATCTGTTCCACGTGAGACGAGCGAATATCCCGGCACGAATTATACTCACAAAAGAACTTCCGCACTTTCTCATACACGGCACGCGGCGTCATACTCTCACCATGCGCCACACTGTGTACATACTGGGGATCTGTATGTGCGCCGCGAGCTTCTGTGGCGATCGCCTCCGAGTCTGGTGGGGGAGATGTCCAGATAGGGAGGAGCTGGGCATGGAATATTAGTGTTGCGAAAAACAATTGAAGTCAGAACAGTTACCTTTTCAAAGACGCCCCATGGGCCGAGACGGCCAACCTTGCGCAGACGGCCGAGCACACTGAGTTCGGCGTATGTCATGCCCATTTCCTCCTCGTCGGATTGGGTGTGGGCATCGGCATTGGTTGTCGGGATCAGCTCGGCGGTTGGGGTGGCGTCGAGGAAGCCTTGTAAAAGAGGGAGATCGAGGTTGTCCCGGGCATGAGCGAGGAACATTCGAAGATCGACCTTAGATATGCCGCCGATTGGGTTTATATCCGCGCTACTCGCATCATACTTGGTCAGGTACCCGCGGAGCTGCTCTGATCTAATCAGTACAGTATCTCGGTGGATTCCGAGGAGAGATAAATACCGTCAACATTGGCGGAGCCGAGAACTAGAAGACCGCCGCCTCCTTTGCGCTTTCGGACACTCGGTAAGAGTTGGGCACTAATTGTTCGTCAATGAAAATCCAAATTGCCATCAAGGGGACAATCTCTCTGCCTTATAGGGCAGCTGTCCAAACACGTACAAAAAATACGCAATCACCATCTGCAAGTTGTCAAATTGTTAGCACATCGATCATTGAAGAATGCTCGGTATGATATCCCGCTATTTTGAGTGCATAGGACAGAATGAACATACACGTATGCGCGCTTGAATGTTTCTGAACCTCGTTAGCTTTTGAATGGAAATTGAAATGGTGGAGAAGGTATAAGCCGCCGGATAGATTCACATACTGTAGAGCAAGCCCTTCGGAAGGGTTACTGGAAGTAAAGCTCGGAGTAAATCCGGTGACAGTAGTGAATAATGTGGTAAGAGCAGATACAACACCATCAATGTTGAGGTCGATGTGATAGGATCCAATGGCTTTCGCAAGCGCCGCTGCTCGAGACCGGGTCTCCTTGCTACTGTTCCTGCTAGTGTGTCAGCACTGAAAGTTGAGTTGAGACTGAAAAAGTCTGAGAACCAAGGTTTGCGCCTTGGTAGACAGTGCTCACGTACTTTGATCCCATGTAGGTAGAGTGAAAAATGTGACTGCAAATTTCCTGTGGACTCGATGGGGTCCAGTCGTTGGCTTGTGCGCAGACTCGTCGGACGTCATCCAAAACGAGTTCCTTTGTGTGAGGTAGGGTTTGTTCGGATGTGACAGCATCATACAGCAGCCGACACATTGAAAACACAAGGACAGCCGTAGATGCAGAGTCGATCCCACCAGACAAAGGCAGGAAGAAACCCGCCGTTCTAGAACGCCTCAAGTAGTCCCAAAGCCAAAGAGCTGGGGCGCTGCAACAGGTGAAGGGACATGTCAGCAATATTCCAGTTTCGTTGATAGAACAAAGAAGAGGTTCGGAGAAGAAGCAGATTCAAAGAGTTGGACATGGCCAGGACTCCAAGGATTAAGGACCACACCAGAGAAATGCTGGTACCCTGTGCAAATGTATGATTCAGGGGACCCTGAGGGCCACTTACAATTGGATTTCCTCAGCGGCAGAATGATAGCGAATTGGAATATCCGGAGAGGGGGCGAGGAATTTTCCGGTCTGTTCGAAGCCTGGGTGCGTCAAGCGGATGTCGACCGGTACACGAGGGTACGGCAGGGCCTCGGCACCCTGGAGACCTCGCGAGTGAGAGACACGGAATGAGCGCACTGGCAAATCATTAGATTCGTCAATTGTTATAAGGACCGCCAGGAGGGAAACAACGCCTATCAATGGACGTGGGATCCTTGCAGGATCACCTACCATCTTCGAGGTCGACATTTGCGGTGATAGTCTCAACGTCGTTCAAGCTGAACTGGCTCCCTTGGGCCAACAGTCTGCCGTTCACGAAGATCATGGCACAGCCATCACTTGTCATGCGTTAGCCCAAAAGACTTGTGCCGGGACAGGTGATCGGTAAAGATAAAGCATCAGCGAGACTGCTTTGACGCAGCACTTACTAGTACAATCTGTCTCCCGAGCAGCCTCGTTGATTGGAATACTATTGACCGTCAGCATGAGAGAAAAGTAGTACCATGCCTCCTGGAATACATACCACGTAAATACCGCCATTCTGTCTCGTGGCCTCTCGAATGCTGGTAGTCGCAAAGTCAGTCCCAGCTTGGACAGCCCAGTATCTCGACACAAAAGCGTCCTTGGTCCGATACAGACTCGATGATAATGAGAACTTACAGAGAAACACGGGTTTGCAGCTTTCTCAATTCGTAGTGCGAGCCACTGGAATTCACAAAGATCTCGACTGAATGACTTGTAAGCAACCAGGGACAAGACGGCGAGAAAGGGAAAGCAGAGAACAAAGCCTAGTATAAACACGGTAGCTCTCAAAACTCACCGCCATTCAATCCCATATGGATATGAGGAGCATTTGGAGTGAACAGCTCTTCACACGTTTCTGCGCCAACCAGCGTGTCAATAGTCTGGAGAACGCCATCGCCAAACGGTGCCTATCCCTTGTTAGATTGAACAGAGCTGTAAAAGGCTGGCGATAAACACAGGCTTTGACATACAGTTCTCTGGCCTGTGACGCTGCTAATTGCATCTTCGAGCGGGTAGTCTTCGACTTCTCGTTTCCGTGTCCACGGGGTGAACCATCGAGACTCAAAGTAGTTGCCTTCCTCGCACATGGCCATTTTGGGACGGATGAGGAGAATCTTCTTGTTCAAGACAATAACGCGACAGTTGTAGCGGACTGAATTGTGGCGCACAGGCATGCCGATGTCGAGGATACAGTCGCTGACATCGGGGTGGGTGATGATGGTCGCCAGAGATTCCCAGCAGTGAAGAAAGAGGTCGCCCTCCAAGCTAGGATGGTTAGTGATGACTGAGTAGCCCTTGGTCGAGAAGGCTTACTAGTGATCTGCACACTGATGGACAGTCAGCACGACAAGCCGTAGCAGGTTGGATAGTCATAATTATATACACGCTCAAACAGGACTGGGGTAGAATGCCAGGACCACGTACTCCATATCCGCAAACCTCCAGCTCAGGACCGACTCTCAGCCGAGCACCCGCTGCCTTGGCTTGCTTGATACTTGTGATGATGCGCTCCGCATTGCCGTCAAAATCAAGCGCCCATCTGCGAAGTGTCAGATTTCATCCGGTGGATTCTTAGGGTGTGAATTCACTGGTTGAGGGAGCAAGTCGCTACTGTCACAAGCTTGCCCATCGTTGATCACGATACAGGGTACCGGCTGAGCTCTATCGCTAATCTCAATGTAACAGAGATACGTGCGGCAAGGCTGAGTTGGAGGGCCAATGGCGGCAAGACTGTCTCGTTTGTAAAAGAAAGAAAAAACCAATTAGCTGGCTATCAGTGAGTCCGGAACGGTTTCCGCCTTGTCTGGGTTGATAGACTCACCAGGAGGTGCGTGCGTGGCTCGACTGGGCGTGGGCGAGTTTCTATCAAATTCTGAGACCGGTGCGATCAGACCCACTAGTCTGATAGTACGTCGGCGGAATATCTCAGTCCATAGACACGAAGAGGCGTAGCAGATGAGGGCCTTTAGAGAGAGACGATATCCTAGTCACAAGTCACGAACCATGAGCAAATTGTGCCAAGACGAATCACGTGCAGCAACCACGTATCACATCTCTTTACAAGGTACCAAGTGGTCAGTCATGTTGATACACCTACCGGTAGGGATATACGAGTCTCTGCGGACAGGATGCCTAGAAATCAATAAGAGGATGATCTCCTGGTCGTCCGACTTTGCCTCAGAGCTACGTGGGGACGTGGAAGCAAATAGCAAAACAGTAATACATATCCATATTTACTAGGGAGCCGAGCTGCTCCCAGATATATATCCATCCAGTACAAAAGTACTGTTCACCTTGGGTATCGATAGCGACTTTAACCACCGTTGAGTTGAGGTTACGCCAATTCCCATATTTTTGTTGAAATTTCGCCAAAGCGCCACACATTGCCCAGACATGTCTCTGATCATAACCCGGACCCAAGAGTGAGGAGCCCTCCCATGCATCCATCCATCCGTACATGAATGCCAGGACCATCACTTCCGATTCAATAGGCTCAAGAACTCCTCTCTGGTTTTGGCACTGCTTCTCATGGCGCCCAGCATGCAACTCGTCGTCGTGGAGCTGCTGGTCTTTTGCACGCCTCTCATCACCATGCAAAGATGACTGCTCTCCATCACGACCCCGACGCCCTGTGGTTTCAGGACTTCGGCGATCGCCAGGGCAACCTGCTTCGTCAACCGCTCTTGAACTTGCAGCCTGCGCGAGAACATCTCCGCCAGTCTGGCCAATTTCGACAACCCAAGCACGCGCCGGTTGGGAATGTATCCAATATGCATCTTCCCAATAAATGGCACCATATGATGCTCACACAGGCTGAATACTTCAATGTCCTTGACAATGACCAACTCGTCGTGGTCTTCATGAAAGACCGCCCCGTTGACCAAGTCCCGCACGTTCTCCTCGTAGCCCTTGGTGAAATACATCAGGGCCTTGGCATATCTCTCCGGGGTATCTCGCAGTCCCTCGCGGTCGGGGTCTTCGCCTATACACTCGAATATCGTCCGGACCGCCCCCGCGAGTTTGTCGAGGCGAACCTGTGCCTGTTCGGGAGTCTGATCGAGGCGTTCGCGAGTGCCGATACACGGCCAGGAAAGACCGTCAAAGTCGATGGGCGGATTCAGTGTATAGGGACTTGCAGGGCGCGACACCGTGGAGGCAGGAGGGGTGGGTGGTGCTTCGTCTCGCTCGTCTCGAGCGGGGGTATGCAGTGTTGTAGGACGTTTCGACTCGGTGTCTTTCTGCGTATTCTCCAGGCCCAGCCATGACGTCCCGCTCGGCATGGTGGCCTGTGAAGTTGTCTGGCTTTCGGCGGTGAGATCTATGGTTTTCCGCCGGCCGTACGTAGCTTGGATAGAAGATGCCAGGTTCTCTCGTTCCTGCGCTCGAGTCGTCGTCTGCGAACGGTGTAGGGGAGAGGAACCGTTCAGCAGGTATGAGGGTACGGCAGAGCGAGGTTTGGGGTGTAAGGTCGCGGGAGGAGGGATACTGGTGCTGTGGTCTAGAGAGGGGAGTTTTGGAGGAGGGTTATTTTGACTCATGGCGGGGCAGAGAGAGGTGGGAAGAACGCGACAGTTTATGGGAGAGGCATGTTTTTCACGAAATCAAAGAACCCCGGGCGGTATTCTAGCTCCAAGAGATATGTCAAGCAGGGTGGCAGGCAAAAGGTATTACCGTGCTGAGTTGGTCTTTGTGCTGTCAGGCCCTCGAGATGGTCACAAAATCTGGTTTGCCCATGAAGAAAATCTCGGGGACAAAATCGGAATCTTTTTTCGTCTGCGCCTGCGCCCTTTCAGTCATCGACAGCCAATCGGAAGCGGGAAATGGCTCCACAGATCCGGGGTAATACGGCGGATCATTCAGCCCTGTCTGCTCTTCTGTCGAACTAGGGCTCTAGACACAGAGGGCCAGACAAGTTGTATACACATTTCATACATATGTACCTATTCACATCTCCGGATATTCTCAGCTCTATCTCAACCTCCGCCTTGCATGCTGCACCATTCCCCCTCTACACAGCCTCACCCGCCGCGCGCCTAATTGACCTCGCCATCTCCTGCGGCATGCTCAAGAACGGCGAATGACTGGCGTCGACGGTTTCGACCCTCATCTGCGCCCCAGCCTGTTGGGCTCCCTCCACCATCCCCTTCTGAGCATGAATCGGGATGGCCTCGTCCCTTTCACACAGCAGATATGTGCTCGGCACAAACTTCCAGCCTGGCTGCGTCACCTTTGAAAAGAAGGTGCGGTAGCTGTGCGGCTTCAGCATTGCCACGTATTTCTCCGGGCCGTCGACGTCGTTGTAGAATGTGTCGATCGGCGTGGCGGGGTTGACAATGTCTTCAGAGTCATTGATCCGAAACCACGGCAGGGGGGTCTGGTTGAGCGCGTCCATCAGGGACACCCCTTCAGGCAGGGCGAAGGCGCAGCAAAAGTAGATGTGCGACACGCCTCCCTTCTTGCCCTCCTTTTCGCGTGAGGCTTTGTCCAGGCCTTTCACGGCTTCGTTTCCCACGACACCCCCGTAGGAGTGGACGACAAGCAAGACTTCTTTCCCCTCGTCCTCGATAACTGGCCTCAACACTTGTTGGATGGCCTCCACGTCAGGCTGAAAGTCTTTGAGCGGCTCGGGCGAGCCGACGGAGGCGAGTTTGACTCCCCTGGTCTCATAGCCGGCGGCCTCGAGCTCGCCAACCACGAGGTAGAATGTCTCAGGGACATGCCAAGCGCCAGGCACGAACACGATGACGGGCTTGGATGACATTTCTGTAGTTGCTATTACAAACAGCTGCTTGTGAAAGAAAGAGTATGAGTTGCAGATGGCATGGGTGAGATAAGTAATTTGGCTGGTTATCAAGTCACTTCTCGCACGAGGGGAACATTGATATGAAATCTTGGTGACATCTAGACCTCCTGCTGACCTCTCTCGGCCCGTAACCCATCGATATGGCCGGGATAAGCACACCCCGCACTTCAGCAACCCCAGAAGGGGAAAAACACACTCAAGAAGGACTTGGCTTGGATTAAGAGTGATATAATAGTAACTTGATCTACACGTTTTAGGGGGCCGGCTGCGAATCCAGCGCTGGAATTTCATAGGGTTTACTGGACCTCTATGCGTCGTGAGGCGTGTCCCAGGGCAGACGCCCACAGGGGACGGGAAATATCAACATTCCCACTGTAGACTAGACTAGACAAACAGATGCTCAATCAACACCAGTCATTTAGTTATCATTCACTTTTTCGCTATCGCGACATACGCCACAAAGTAGAGACCGCCGACACCACCATCCTCGGGATCCCTCTCGCGTGCGATCCTCAACATCTCCCCTCCCAGTCTCGCCTTTTCCTCGTCGCTCCACCCCTCCACAGCCGCAGGGTACGACCGGGCGACCATGTCGGGGTCGCGCAGGAACGGCTCTACCACCGCGTCCGTCCGTTTCTCCACGATGCGCACGTTCTCGGCCTTGAAGCCCGCGGCGACGAGGACGTCTCGCAGTGTTTCCTCCCGTGACCAGCGCTCCGCCCACGGGCTCGACAAGGTCTTCAGATCCGGCCGGATCGCCTCCTGCGCGGCTGCGATCGTGTCCATGATCCGCCGCTCTTTCCACGCCGTGACGACCGCGACGCCGCCGGGCTTCAGCGTGCGGTGGATGTGGTCCGCCCCCTTCTGCGGATCGGGCAGGAAAAAGATGCCAAAGTTGGTGATGCTCAGGTCGAACGTGCCGTCTGCAAACGTGAGGTCCTGGCTGTCCATGACCGAGATGTCCACGTTCTGCCACTGCTGTTGCGTCGCTTTGTTCTGCATCACTTGGGTGACGGACGGCACAAAGTCTGTGGCGTGGATCTTCCTCGGGTAGATCCCCCGCTGGGCAGAAACCTGCTGCAGGTATTCGGTGACGAGACCTGTGCCGCAGGCGTTGTCGTGGATCACCATGTCCGCACTGGGCGGCTCAATCAGTTCTCGTAAGGTGTAGCGTGCGATGTCGCCCGTCATGAGGCCGATTAGATTATCATATTTGGACGAGAGCTGATCGAAGTGGCCCGAAGGGTTAAAGTCGCTGGGATTGGGCTTCTGGTCCATGATAGTTTGTGGTGGTTTGCGTCCAGACTCTAGTATGTGAACTGTCAGAGGGAGCAAACCTGTTGTCTATCTGCGGGTAGATGTTGGTATAAGTGTCGAAGGTATTCAGCAATAGCTCTGGCATCGGCAAATCGGTTATTCAACATAAAAATCGATATACTCGTATTATGTGATCCCCGCCTGGTCTGTATTGCCGAGCCATTACGGACTTCAGCGCGAGAGCGGCCCGCAGAGATCAACAAGCTTCCTCGCTTTAATGCGTATAGGGGGCGGTAGGAGCAGCGTGAGCTTGGATAAAGAATATGTTGAAAGATTGATATATGGTGATGTATAGACCACTTTGCGGATGACTTGCTCCCCATCTCTATAAGATGAGATAGGGTAAAGAGCAGTTGAGTGATAGTAGAGATAATCAAGACCACCAAATGTATGTCTCATCAGAAAGTTATTTTATGGTCCTCTCATTATCGAAAGAGTCATCTCGAAGTCAAGGTCATCAACGGAAAGTGAAAGCAAGGTGGGGTTAATGTGTAGTTTCTAAGGTGTAGGACACGAATAGATGGGAATCGGTTACTACGAATGGTATACCAAGCCTGCCAGGATGCTCGCATTTCTCCCCACCAACATCGACCTACATACATCTTGAATCCTTGAGCATATTCGTCAAACGTCGAACTCAGATGACTTTTCAACTTTGTTCACCAGTGGCTGACTCGATGGTGGTCCATTTGAGAGTGCTTCCAATGCTTTCAGTTTGGAATGTGTCTCACTTTGATGCGTGAGGTCTCCTGGACATGTGAGCTTTTCAGCCTGGAAGTCGGAGAGACAAGCCTTGCAGTCCTGGAGCAGGTCTTGGATAGTGTTTTCGTCAAAGAGCCCTATGGGCTTCACGGGAATATGACTGAATTATTCCATCTCTTACGTGATGTAATATGGACTTACAGTGGTCAGTAGATGAATGGAAGGAAGAACAGAGGTCAAGATGATATCAACAGGTGAGAAGGGCGAGGACTTTCACCATGGAATGCTAGCAGTAGGTGTCTTCAGCCTTTCTACTTCACTTCACATCACTTCAAACCTCATTTACTTCACACCTCCTTCAACTTACACTTCATTTTACCCCATCGAGCCCATCGACCGATGCGTTGTGGGTAACCAGTTGGTAACCCAGTGATCAACAGAACCGAGAGAGCTTCATTCAAAACAGGATCAAACTTTCAGTCACACCTCTATCCCTGCAGAGACTCTCAACCTCAGCCTCAACATCGCTCCATTTGCTTCCGACGTTATCGATATTTTTCGGAATGGACAATACAAGCGGCATGGAAGCAAGCATGACAGATCATCGAGAGACCCAGGGTTCTGACATTTCGAAGTCAAAGCTTACCTCTGACAGTGTGGACACGATCACGGCCTCGAATGAACATGCTGCCCCTGCCGTTCACGACGATGAGCATCAGACGGGGGGAAATACTGAACAGAACGAAAGCGAAAGGGGGAAAAGTGGGTTCCGGATCAGCCAGTCCGAAGCCCAAGAGGGCCAAGTTAATGGCGCAGGATGAGATGTCAGAAGAGGAAGCGGAAACAATGGAACATATGCGGACCGTCGGGAAGGCCGAATGGGATGCCCTCGGAAGGAGAGCACGATACAGAATGGAGGTAGTACTTGCAAAATACGTATGTCAATCCACAACGACGATGCTACAAGGCATCAGTATCATCAGAATGAAAGAATGGACTTCTATCGAAAGCGGACAAAGGCCGCGAAGCATCATGACCAGACAGCACCAACAACCTCAGACATCTAAGACTCTGAATTCAGACGTGTCGAGCTGTGAGAGATATAGCAACGCTCTGCTCTATCTAACAGAGAACCGTATTAAGCAATCACTCAACCAAAGGCCATCATCAGTCCTCTAATCTCACTGCCGGAAAACAAAAATCCCTGAAATTGTAATTGTACAAGACATACATGTACGAGTATGACCAACATCGTATCGTGTCGTCAACCATCAAGGCAAGAAGCAAAGTCATAGCGCGCAGGGCAATCTTCATCCATAGAAAACTGGCATGTTCAACGACTCGCGCTCAAACCCTCCGTGTCCCAGCCGGCTGTCCTCCTCATAAATAGTCCGGAACTTTTAGTCTCCCAAAGCAAGTATCCCCGATGCTCCAAATCCAAGTTCATTCCCCAGCGACCTGTGCTAAATTGATTCCCTCTAGTGTACCGATGTTGTCCAACTTCAGAGGGCATTAGATCCCGCAGCATTCACCATCATTAAACGCACTCCCACTCTCCCCAAACACACCACCTGGCACTCCGATCCGCAAGGACCAGGCCTCTCCAGATGCCCCTTTCTTGGACTTTGACGGCGGTCTCCCAGAAGCTTCCCAGAACTTCACCATCCACTTCCTTCAGGCTGGCAGGCTGCGGTATCCCCTCGTGCTTACGGTTCAACCTGATGATTTTGCCGCCGGGAGATTGGATCGCCAGTTTCGCCGGCTTGTCCTTGACTTTAACACTAGCCGCATTGTTGGCGTTGTTGCCGTAGGTATAGTCGCTGGGATTGGAACCGGTCGTACTGCTAGTCATGCTCATTGCGCTAGCAGGGCGTCCAAGTGGGTTGGGACTGACAGGGCGGACCTCAAAGCCGTTCTGTTCGTTCGCCGGCGTAGATGCTATCGACGAGGGGTGTTGCCGCACGCAAAAGACATATGTCTCTCCGGCCCCAAGGCGATAGCATTGCGGTTGCACGACATAGAGATCTTGTCGTGTGGCATGCGGTGTAGGATGCCTCATGACAAACTCATAGCTTGGGTTCTCGCCCGAGTGGTAGAGAGGTACTGCAAGAGCCAGGGGATGCACGATATCCCTCGAAGAAAGCATCAGACCTTTCTTCCCAGCGTAGACCTTGACGTAGGCGAACCCTTCGTCCCCTGGCAAGATTGCCTTGATCACATATCGCTTCTGCGCCATGTCCGCGTTAGGCACTGTGCGGTACCAGCTGGGTTGTGCAAGAGCACGTTTCTTCGTTAGGTGGTCGGCGTCTTCATAGACATCGCCGTCTTGGTCGCAGAGGTATCTCCTGGCTTCCACTTCTGCCACAATTTCAACATCGGGAGGGACATTGATGCTGAATGTGCACATTTCTAGGCCGTCCAGTCTAATGATACTTGTGTCATAAGCGTGCATCGACAAGCCCTGCCGAAAGAACGGTGGGCCTGTTCCAGGTAGGGCTAGAAGCACGTCAGGACTGATGCTGGGAATCATGTGTTGCTGGAGTTCATCAACGGGAACATGCGTCCAGCATAACTCGCTCGGTCGCGTCAAGAAATACCATGCTTCGGCGATACTGGTGCTGATGCTGGAATATAATGCTCTTTTCGGGTTCGTCGGGCTAGCCAGACTGGCGTCTATCATTCTCCATTCTCCATCGACGAGTACGGCGTTCCAGAAGTGGTTTGGTCGAGCAATCGCGTCCAAGTCCAGTTCTTCGCCAGGTGATTTCAGATAACCGTGCACGACTTCGGCGTGTATGCCGATGGCAGTGCACATCTCAAGCACAACCTCTGCGACTTCTTTGCTGCTTCCCCGTTTGCTTTGAATGACCCTTCTAGTATCGGCTGCCTGGTTGAAAGAGTAGCTGTCAAAATGATCTTCTTCCCAGCTAATTCTCTCGGCGCACCAAATAAATATCGCTCGTAATCTTTGTACGCCACTTCGATATGGACGGCAGATGAAACCCGTCGCGAGGCCTCCTGCCGTTATGCTGCTAGGAATGCTTGTGATGAACCGAGCGGCCTTGTCCACCTGGCTGAAACTTGGATTGCTGAGCTGGAACGGCGAATACACAGGTTGTCCATCGGCGTCTTCGTCTCCTTGGAGATTCTCGTAGAGTTCTTCGACTGGACAGATAACAGGCTGATCCAGCATCTGACATCGATCGGCTCGCTCTTGGCGTTCTGATGGTCCTGGCGTGTTTGATCGATTGACGTCGCGGCGAGTGAGAATATATGAGCCAGAGGCTCCGCTGACTAGGCCCATCTCTTTGGCAGCATCCCTCCCAAATGTACTGTGCGACTGAGTAGTGGCAACTGGCGCATTGAATGCGGTTCCGCCAGCGATACCCGTCATTTTTGTGGGCGACCCAGAGGTGCTTCCTGCTTGACTGGATGAGATAGTGCTTCTAGCGCTCGCAGCACCGGTCTTTGCACTGTCGATTAACTTCTTAAAGAACCCTGGCTTTTTGGCTTTGGGAGTCGTGAATCCCCCCAACCCACCATTTGCACCTCGACTCGCATCTTCCCAGCCGATCGCTGACTTTGCCCCTTGTCTGGTGTCATGGTTCACATGAAAAGATGTTCCTGTATTTGGCGTCTTTGGTCGTGTCTCCATTTGGGTCCATTGCTCATCCCTGGTGCCCGTGCTAGTCATCGGTCTAGCCATACGGTCCCGAAGACTGCCCATTCTCTTCCTTGCCAGACTTCCCGCACTTGTAGCACTAAATGCACCAGCAGAATACCCGCTCATAATGCTTTGAGAAGTCATGGCTGTTTGGCGCGAAAAGTTGGTCCCGGTGCTTGCAGAACTTTGTGCTCCGCTACTGGAGCTGCTGTTGTTGGTCAAGTTCGTTTTCTGCGTAAGGGCTCTTGAAAGGGTACCATCACCGACATCTATAGCGGATTTCCTTCTTCGCATCGATAGTCGACGAGCTGCCTTGGCAGAGTTTGCCCACGGCGAATTCTTGGGCGGTGGTTCCGGAGGGTCACTGTCTGGTGCATCCAAGTCCTGCCCTTCTCGAGCTTGTTGCATGCGGCGCAGTCGACTCTCCATTCTCTGGACGTAGTTCTCTAATCGAGGTGGACCATCTTGAAACCGATCTGGGCTGTTGTGGCGACTACTATAGTTGATGGGTCCTTCGGAGAAAGTGCTGCCTCCAGCACCGAGGCCTAGACTGGTAAGTGGGCGGGGACCTGGACGAGCATCAGATCGACGAAAG